GAATGTTTGTTCGTCCTGAATACGTGTGAGCGGAAATTCCTAATTAATAATGCAACTGCGAACGTGTCCGGCATGATTTTAGCCAGATTATGCGAATATAATCGGAACCGGGTGATTTGTCACTTTTGAAATGGCTCATTTGTTATACAATTTTGACGGGGTCGTTGGTGTCATGGTAGCAATCAACGGTTCCATCTTCACTGTGTCCATTGTTCTAATTACTTTATGTTTTCGAAACATGTTGGACTTCGTCTGGTAATCTGGACGTCAAATAGGTGGTAGGAATATCGAAATTCCGTTCAAGTCACAAACCACCGTCCACAGATGAAAAAGCCGTCAAGTTTTGCCGTATTTCAGTTACAGTTTGTGGATTTCCGAATATCCAAAGTCAAAAAAGCGCTAATTCACCTTCCATCATGTGAACCGGATGCTTTCCAGTCCTCCTCTATCATAGAAACATTACTACATGATTATTTTCTTCATTTTTATGTATCATGTGAATGCGTGTGCGTAAGTATTCTTAGAGCGGGAATGGAACATACTAGAATTAATAAAGTCTTCGCCGTCGACAGGTGAAAAGGAACTTTCCTATTTAACTAAATAGCTCCGTAACCTAACATGATACGGGTGGATTAAGGATGTGATTAGATGAGGCGGATGGACGGCTTATAACGGTAGAAGTTTTGTTCCAACTAAATGTGGGGGGGAACTGCGGGACTACTTGTGCTATGCGGAACATTACAATTACTCGTGCATCCGCCGTTAAATTATGGTCTAGTGGTGTAAGCCACAGACTTACATGTGTTGGGGGCTGAAATTCGATTTTCGGTCGCACAAAAAACGTACTCATGTTGACAATTGCCGCAAAACAGTATGTGCTAGCTGGTATGCTCGCGACATCGTCCGCATGAAATAGTTATTTTATACGACGTCGGTCGCGTCGTTCTTGCGGGATAATCTTACAAGATAGACATATAGCGTCACTTTTTTTTAGATCATTTAAAGAGGAATCATTCTTTCGTACATATATTTTGGATATCTTGTACCGTTTTTGCAGCGTACGCCTCGGAAACTCATAATTATGAATAATTTTCCCAATTTATTAGTCATATTTCCCGCTGTATCTTCGCTCCTATTAGTCACACGACGATGTTTTATAGCCTATAGCCTCGATAAATGCTCTAACAAACACAAATATATTTTTAATTTGCCATAGTTTCTGACATTAGCGCGTTCAAACAAACAAACAAACTCTTCAGCTGCAGCCGTGGTCTCCCCGTGACCAGTTTAACTAATATATCGCGTTATTGTTATAAACCGTTAAAGTGTTTTATTTAAATAAACTGTATATATTAAAAAGAATAAAAAAATAACCTTGTATTAGTTAATAGAACATCAAATTATACTTAATTGCTTCTTTATTGACACAGTTAATTTCTATAGCGTTGTATATACGTAATTATCTTGTTTCCAAGATAACGTTTGTGTTTAATTTATGTTTCATTGTATATCTGTTTATAGATATACAAGAAGATTGAAGATTTTATGTAGGTAGCTTTAATAACTATTTGTGTTGTACGCTTGTCTGTAGTTTCTGACACGCACACGCCGTATTCAATAAATCACTTTTAAGGGTTTTAAACGCAAAATTAGTTACAAAATATTGTAGCTACGTTTCAGATGCAGCCATTTTGAAAAGCATAGGCTTCACAAAATGGCCGCGGAACTTGATGATTGTTAATAAAAAAACCTCTTTTTTGCTTTCATAAATTCTTTGATTTCTTCTTGAAGAGACGGGGAGAAATAGGTGGAGTAGAGTGAAGTGGAGTAGTCAATTGTAATCGAACGATCCGTCCATTAGTGTGAGCGTCGAAGCCGAAAATTACATCAAATTCACTCGGAGAATCAATGCCTATTTTATATCAAAGCTATTGCGAGCTATAGAAGCTCTTAGTGCCTGTTATAGTTCAAAGTGTAAAGTGAGGATATTAGGTTGCGTTGTTGATGGAATAGAACAGATTCGAAATTTCAGAAGATATTTATCTCACCTGTTGTTTTTATATTAACGTTACGTCAATGTATGATTTGCATTTGTATGTTGTACGTAATTTTACAAAAAAATAACTCTTGGTTAGACTGGGCTCGTCGGTCTAATGGTAGTAACTAGTGGTAATAATACCTAAATATCAATGGAAAACGTCGTAGGTTCGAACACCGATTTCAAACGGGTAGGACTAACGAAGTTTCGGACCGCGTCACGAACTGCCGTCCACTGATGATCAAGCCGTGGAGTTAATTGCGTTTCGGTTTCAGCTTGTGAAATTGCAATTCGATAGATCAACAACGAATGTCGTTACGATGTTATATGGCTGGGGTATGTCACCTTCGATCATAAAAAAATATATTTTCGTTTACCTTACTAGGAATAATGATTTTTATATTTTTTCTTACACAGGTCGATTTTGGTCGAAAACGGAGTTAATAATTAGTAGACAGCGTAGCATAGTAGCATTTATGGTAATCCTTTAAAAGAATATATTTGAATTAATAACGCCTTATAGAACTTAAATTAAAATCGAAAAAACTCAATAGTTAGAATAAAATTAATTGAACGTAACATGTTATAGCTCAAACTTTCCTTGACCAAGTAATCAAGTAGGTCGCCACTAAGACAGAAACCATAAAACCTAGGATTGAAGCGGAAAAAGAAATTGCTTCGAACGTATAAAGCAATAAAACATTGCAAAGTTGCTGAATTCCTTCACGAAAGTAAATATGGTTGGCGCAAATATGTTTGTTTCCCTTTTGCTGTAATCATGTTTTAAGAAGTTGAAAATAAACCGTTTCTATATTCAATGTATTTATTGGACACATTTTTATATATAACTAGCTATGCCATCGACTTCGACCGCGTAGAATAGTTATTTCGGGCACCCAAACCTGTTCTTTTAAAAAAAAAACAATTTTTGTTCAATTCGAACCAGTAGTTCCCGAGATTAGCGCGTTCAAACAAAGAAACATACAAACAAACTCTTCAGCTTTATATATATGTATAGAATAGTAAGGTACCGAGTCGTGAGTTCGGTTCTAGCATAGTTCTAAATTAATTTCTAATTTCCAAGTGTTATACCGATAAAATCTAGAATCTCTAAATCTATTAAAATTCCGGATCAAGAACCACTGTCTACAGTTGGAAAAAGGTAACATTTTCGTGTAGGTTCGAGTTCTTATTACCGAAGGTTCCTAGTCAAAATAATTGGTCACGTTCCAAAAAGTGAACAGTATGGTTGTCTCCTCCTTTGTCATAACATGTTTTACTTTTATAGGTTGTGTTACGAACGAACGTAACGAAATTAAATTTCCGAATACTGAAATAAATGAAACGGAGTCGCAACGAATCGGTTACGCGACAGTTATTACACGATCTGTTTGCAAAATAATACAATTTCAAAGAGAAGATACAGGGGATGTTCAAGGGGATCGGGGTGTCTACGGTTTATTGATGGAGCCTATCCTTCATCGAATTTTATTTAATATCAATGGAAAATGTACAGACTCATCAATAACCTTTATTGAGATTTAGACGAACGAAGAATTCGAATGGAAAACGTAAACGATGTTTTCAGATTTGTACTTTTGCACAATCGTATAATTGATGAGCCTCATGTTTAAATAAAACACTTTAACGGTTTAAAACGCGATATATATTAGTGAAACTTATTTGATTTTTTTTAGCTACGGCCTGGCGTTTTGGATTCTTTGCGGTAGCCGTGGTCACGGGGAGAATCGTAGATACGTTTTTAACCATTAAAGTATTTTATTTGAATGTGTACTACTCGCGTAAACTACAGGCAGTATTTAACGTCGTATTATTGTTATTGAAATAAATACTTGTTTTATCTGTTATTACAAGTGGTATACATTAAATAAAACACATTTCATCGGTTCGATTTCAACTATATTGATTGATTAATTTTAACTAAAACTCGACGGTTCTGCGTGATATTCAAACGTGATCACGTTAAGATATATTAACTTATATCGGTTGCGTTTTGAACTGTTATTTTAGTGTCTCTATTTATAACTATTTAACAAACGAAATAAATTAAAACATTTCAAATAAGTAAGTACTTAACTACAGAATTAAGTCAGTACTATCTTCTTCAGCATTCAGTAAAACTAACCTAGGCTTCCTTTTATTAAAAAATATATTTAACGATAATCCATGGTTTTATAAGACTAGAACATACCCTAAAGACAAGTAAACGTACAGCAGATACAAAATAACTACAAAAAAGCCTTTTTGCTTTAATGCTTATCAAATTACACTAATCTGCTCTAAATGCCTTTAGCCTCCAAAATTTCGCTAACAATTTTTTCAGGAAATCTTATTTCCTCAAGCACTTATTTCCATCACATCATCGGTTTTCCTTTAACACCAGCTTCTATTTTCTCAAAGTTAAAAATAAAACGTCTTTCTACTTATTAAGAATTAAATCATCATATATGGAAGCAAACTATATTAGTTATCTTATTTTTAATTTATTTTAACTACATCGCTTCAGAAGCTTAGCAGAAGCCGGCTACGGCTCGGTAACCAATATATTTCGCATTTTAAGCCGTTAAAAGTGTTTTATTTAAATAGCATCGGATAAACCACAGGCAATCATTGTTCGTGGACTCGAATCGAAAAAACAATGTAATGCAACGCAGCGCAATCAACGGATAACCTTAAAAATGAATAATCTTTAAGGTTATCCGTTGCTTGTGCTGCGAAAAGGGTGCAAATTATTCTTCTATATACGATCTAAAAATGCCGTCAACGATATATACTATAAGTTCAACTTGCAAGGTCGGGACGTTTGTTTGAAGGCGCTAATCTCAAGAACTACTCGTTCGAATTGATATTTAGGCTATAAAATAGACGCGGCCGAAGTCGCAGCCACAGCTAGTTAGCTATACATGGCTACCATAAGATCAACGAGCCCATCTGCTGTGTTCTAAACGTCGGTAATATCGGATAGAATTCTGAAGCTTTCCCTCACGTTCATCGTTACATCACGAGCGATATTATTGTTGGCGATTATCCACGTTGAGCCGCTTTCTGCTTGCTGAATTACTTCAATAATACCATTTACTGCTGATTCCACTCTGCAAAGGAAACACATTTTAAAGCTCTCATTTTTAATCCACAGATGAATAGCCGTTAAGTTTAATCGATAATGCGTCTAAAAAAAAAAAAGAAAAATGACAGTGTCTTGAAGAAAAAAAAATTAAAATTAGAACTATTTTAAACAGGTTAAAACACGTATTTTATAGTAACTAAATATCCTGAGAAGTCGGTAACACGATCTTAATGGGTAAATACGATTATGTAATACGTATATAAAAGCCGGTATTGTATGACTAATGTATGTATGTATTATCTGACTACCCACATACCGTGTAACAGACATAAGAGGAAAATTGAAATTCGTCCGTTTACGCCTCATGTAATATGCATGCGCTACATTAACGGGTGTTGTCATTTGTCAAAATTATTCGCCTATTTTCTGGGGCTTGGGCCTTTGACAATTCATCCTCGTTTGATGCAAGTCATATCGTTCCATTCATAAAGTGGTGACTTTGCTTTTAATTTAAAACCGTCGCGTCACGCAACTTTTCCAACTAAATTATCAACCAGTCTTTATAATTTATATACAATATAATATAGAACAATAGATCGGTTTGCCTACTGCCTTAGCTGCTGTATTTTTATATGTACCTCCGTACATAATACATTACAATTTTCTATGAAAAACTCTACTTATGTCACACATTACACTGTCGACATTCGGCTCTGGATACTAATAATAGAACTGAAGAGTTGGTATGTTTGGTGATTGTTTGTTTGTTTGAACGCACTAATCTCAGAACCTACTGGTGGGAATTTTTTTTTGGGTTACTGAGATGTCGAGGAGGATATTTATAATGTATCACACTGCCACCCAAAAGAAGAAAAAGGGCGAATTATGAAAAACACACGAAGGAAATTAATCATCTCTTTAGGTTTCCGATGAGTACATTCCGAAAACGGTCTTGTAACTAGAAAATATCTAGAAAGAATAATTCTCTAAAAAAATATCCAGGACACTAAATCTTTTGAAATTTACGATTTACCAAAATAACTATTCTACGCGGACAAAGTCGCTGAACGCATCTAGTTAAATATATTATTTATTGACGCTGAACTCTCGCGCAAAGTTGTAATAAAAAGGTTTCGAATAAGAATTACGGATTTGTCGAAGTTTCGACCTCGTTTCCCGCTGGGCGAGTAATTGCAAATAACAAATTACCTTTGAGGCTCGGAGGCTCGCGAAGAAACTCCGTGGCCATCCTTTGCGGAGTTGTTCAAGTTGCGCTTGTGAAGTAGGGCCGTATCCGTGGGTCCGAGGCAGACTGTTATTATGCGTACTTTCGTTGTACTGTAAGATTCCTCGTCCTGAAAATCAATTTAAACCTTGTCAGACAGCTATATAATATTCTGTATTATCTATATACTGAAATCGCAGTGCTGCCCGCAGCTTTATTAATTTGCTGTGTGAGGGAACTTATTTAAAATATTGTTTTTAATTAATTTAACTAATATATTTCACTTTTTAAACTGTTAAATTGTTTTGTTTAAATAAATGTGTTTCTTTGTTGAAAGTGACGATCTCAGGAACTACTGGTTCGAATGGAAAAATCATTTTTCCATTCGAACCAGTAGTTTTATGGCTATATGTCTATCGCTGCATATATGTCTATCCTTTAAGATTAAATTGACAAGAACGACGGGACGCGATCGACGGCATGGTTTAATTTTTATATTGATGAAGAGGAGGTTTGCAAAAATTAATTCAGCACCAGACAAAGTTGCCATAGTTAGTTTTATTACAGATTTACTTACCGCTAAAAAATTACTAAACTGTAAAACAGCGCCTTTGGTAGCGGAGTATACCGAGAGACATGTGGATGATTTAAAAGCCTGTAAGGATGATACGTTTATTATAGCTCCGCCGCAGCCTCCAGCATCCGCCCTCATTATGCTTAAAGCTTTTAATGTACTCGTTACGGTTCCACACTGGAAAAAGTTAAAAGCCATTAAATGAGCGATTACAATGAGGTAAAGGGCCTTCCCGTTATCAAAAAGAATTCAGACCTCGTCTTCGCGTGCTTTGTTAAGATATCATTTTGGTCAATCCATACTAATAATACAAAGCTGAAGAGGTCGTTTAAACGCGCTAAAGTCTGTAACTACAAGATCGAGTTTATTTTTTTTGTGTTTGGTCAAAATACTTTAGAAGGAAAAATTCTCTCAATCATTGGCTCATTTAAATAAAACATTTTAACGGCTTAACGCGAAATGTTTTAGTGAACTTATTTACAATTTACGGCCTGACGTTTTGGAATTGCCAAAGGTGGAGTATGTCCCTTTTGCTGCTTTCCAAACAGAAGCGCTAGCGTAGCAGATTTTATTTTGACATTAGAGACAGCGGACATCCTCCATTTCTAAATAAGTCACCTAAATTTGGCGTTTTAAACAGTTTAAATTGTTCACGTTAGATGTGCACTAATCGCGTACTTTAGTAACAATTCCAAATTACTCATGATCGAAACTCACTCATAATCTGAATGTTTGAAGCGACTATCAAATTTTAATTAAATATTAATTATGTTTGTCATAAAGTTTAACAACACGGCGTCCAGCATTTTTTGAACTTTATATGGACAGTCAAAATGGGTCGAGAGCACTTTTTGTATAAGCTTATATTAGATGTTATATAGCTTGTGTTATTCGCCTACGATCTACTGAACTCCATGTTTGTCTACCTTCTTCTGTTATAAAAAAGCAACTTAAGCAGCAAACATTAAAATCTACTCACGAAATTGACATCTATCATTGTTTTGCACAAACTGTTGTCACCGACGACGGCTGCGCTATTTACGACGACATCGAGTTTGCGGTGCTTGTCCAAAACTTGCCTGAACGCGTCGCCGAGCTGTATTTCGTCAGTTACGTCACATTTTATAAACTTCGCTCTGAGAGCTCCGAACTTGTTCCGGAGTTCCCTCTCCAAAGTGGCTCCTTCCTTCTCAGACACATCAAGAAACGCGACGTGCTGAAAGAACCCATACGTCAATCACTACAGTAGATAAACTTTTATTGTTTTATTGGAGACACATGTAACAACATTTCTTAAAGAGTTTGTTGTTTGTTTGATCGTGCTACGCTCAGGAACTACTGCTTTGAATTTAAAAAATATACTTGTACCTATTAGTGAGAGCAATTATCGAGGAAGGCTTTACGTTATAAACATCACGTTGCGACTAATAGGATTGAAGGAACAGAGGGAAATGTGGAAAAGCGGGGAAATTGTTTATATGATCAATATTCATCCCTGTTCATCTTTTATGGTGTTGCTTGCGTAATGGTTTGGTCAAAACAATTAATATGGCAAAAGAACGTTATCTATAAAAACAATATTGTTCAAAACTTTAATATTTTGTCGACTCGGTAGCTCATTGGTAGATCAACAGCACGGAACGCTGACGATGCCGGTTCAAGTCCTGCCCGAGTCGAAATTTTTTTCAAATGATTTTAGATTTTTAAAACAACAACATTGTTACACAGTTAGTCTATTAGTAGACGTGTACATAATTATTTTTTTATACATAATCCTCGTGCAAAGGTAATTTAACGTTTAAAAATGTTGAGGCTCAATGATGTAACATATAAGTATTACTTGACAACATATTTAAATAAAACCCTTTCAACTGTTTTAAAGACGATATAAATGAGATTAACATATGTTTTACTTATAGTAACAACGATGCGCCGTTTGGATGCTTTCAAGCAGCCGTGGTCATGGATCGACGAATATATGTCGCGTTTCAAACCGTTAAAAGTAAAAACTGTCTGTAGTTTACGCGAGTAGTACACATTTTAATAAAAGACAATTAGGTAAACTTACTTCTTCCCGTGACTACGACTACTGCAAAGCTAAACGCCGGGCCGTGTTAAAATAAATTCAAATAAGTTTAACTAATATATATCGTGTTTTAAACCGTTAAAAGTATTTATTAAAATAGAATAAATGTAGTTAAATATATCCTTCCAGATCCAGATCCCTTTATCAATTAGTGGTTCGAAATAAGTGAAGAGCCTTCAAAATAATATGCCTACCGTCTTTCCTTTAACGGATTTCTACCAACAAATCTAGCTTAACGAAGCCCAATACTGAAATCCAACGGGATTCGGCAAATGTTCCATTTCAAAAGAGGATTTTGATTACGTTTTAGATATAAAGCATATATCCTTTTAATGGGGTCCTTTACTTTTTTAAGTTATTTTTAATTTGTAGTATAAAAAACAATCTTGTATCATAATATGGCATAATATGGTGATTTAATGTATATTTTTTTAATCTAACATAATGAATTACCTAATGTTTTGTATATAAGTTTACGCGAGTAGTACACTTTTAAATAAAACACTTTAACGGTTTAAAATGCGATATATTAGTTAAACTTATTTTTATATTATGTTTTAAATTCGGCCCGTTTCTGCCCCCTCGACGGGTCCGAAACGTCGGCCGAAGTTAAAAATCATTTCCAAATAAGTTTAACTTAACGCGTTTTAAACCGATAAAGTGTTTTATTTAAATACCTAACGTTCGTTAGTTAATTCGTTCATTTATAGTATAGCTATATAGTAGAGTAAGATAGTTAGGTAATTTAGAGTATAGGTATAGTTATATATTGTGAGGGTGATAAGTGGCAAATATTAACCGCTGCGCGGTTTCCATGCCCGGCGAAAAGTTGTACAAATATATAAAGAAAGAAATTAAAGAAAAAAATTAATATAAAACATATATTATGTCACTTTATTTAAAATTGCCCTCTTAAGAGCTTTAAGAATACTTGTTAACTGTCTATAAGTTTTTTTTAACGTGTAAGGAGTCATTTTAAACGTAGTAATGTGTGTAGTTTATGTGAGTACCTTGAAATAGAACACTAACAGTTTAAAACTCTAAATGAGTAAAAGCTATATTTTATAAATCACGTGGTCGTGAGCGGCGAATATACTTCGCGTTTTAAACGATTCGTTTTTTCTCGAGCACAAGCCGAAACGTCGGGCCGTAGTTAAAATGAATTGAAATAAGTAAACTAATACGTATTGCATTTTAAACCGTTCGAAGTGTTGTGCATATATTTTAAACTCATTAAAAAAATATTAATCAACGCTATTTATGGAATGGTTTAGGAATCAAAGTACATCCATTTGTCTTATCATTTATGATAATTGAACAAAGAACCTACCCTTGCATTCTTCGCTAAAAACTCACGAACTAGACCGGCTCCGATGCCAGCCGCACCTCCTGTCACTAGAACCACCTTTTCATCAGCGGTCCAAGACATTTTTTATGACTTCACACAAACTTAGGTTATGCCGAAGCAAATCAACACTAATACAACATTATCTTTGCCTTTATCTGGTAACGCTATCTTACAATAACAAATATTTCTGACGAAAACTTCAATTGTTGCTAATTACACTGTGTGGAATGCTGTTTCCCATGGGGCAGACACAATTGTGTATCTGTATTATTGAATTTATTTACAGGCGTATTGGGTCAAACTTCTTATTATCATCGTAATTTCTCAACGTGATGTTTAACTGTTTGTTGACCTTCGTATATTATGATAGAGGACGACAGACAAGCCTTGGTAGAAGGTGAAATACACCAGCCACATAATATATAGATAAGATGCGCTATCGACTTATTTTGGCTTTGGATATTTGGAAAATAACATATATAACATAATAACACCGAAAAGCGATTAAACTTAACGATGTTTTTTATCTCTAGACGGTAGTTCGTGACCCGGTCGGAATTTCGATATTTCTACCACTTAATCTCCAGTTTTACAAACGAAATTTTATAGGAAAATTATGAATTGATGAGAAATATGTTGGAACCGGTGCGAATCAAACCGAACCGTTTTCACAGCGCACGCAGTGGAAACCCCTATATATTAATATTTTTTTCGTTTCCTCGACATTTCCCACTGTTTCTTCTTTCTATTAGTCGCAACGTGATGTTTTTTTTCTCTTGATAAATGCTTTAAGCAACAAAAAAGTTTCAAACAAACAAACAAACTCTTCAGTTTCATATATTAGTATAAATAAAGTATTTATGTTATAATACTATTTGCTGCTTTGCAGCAGCCGCGGTCGAGACACTACGGGGGTCTTCCCGTGACCACGGCTGCTGCAAAGCATCCGAAACGTCGGGCCGAAGTTTTCCAAATAAGTTTAACTAATATATCGCGTTTTAAACCGTTAAAGTGTTTTATTTCAACACCTGTCATTATTATTTGCAGAACGAACGTGGTTCCTCCTTCCCTTGAGCACATCACTAATTTACCGTCTAAAATTATTTTTAGGTTAGATAAACCCCCAACTTAGATCTTTCTCGAGTACTTTAGATTGCTTCCAGCGATTGCTCACTTCAACTTGAAAAGTTTTGATCTCAGCATTTTCAATTTTAAACGCGACCTTGTCAAGTTGTCATTCAAGTTTCAACTATTCTCGAGAACGCTTTTGATGAAGTCGAGATATGTATCTTAGTTGCTATATAACCTTTTCAATTTAACGCTTTTAACTGTTTAAAACGCGCGTAAAAAATGTTTTTTACTACGGCCCGACGTTTTGTGTTTACATTATGCGTTTTAAACTGTTAAAAATGTAAGTTAAAAATCGATTTTAGATTGTATAAAATTTACGACAAGGACAGGACAACGGTATCCATTCCGTTTGCTTTACAATGGCATGTGAAAAATGAAGTTTTCAAATGTTAAAAGCAGTTTATTTTATTATGTATTAGTCGAGTAAACCACAGACAGTAATTGCTGTATAACATTTCAATCTTGATCGAGTACTATGTTTCGCTCACGACTTCGTCTGCATGGAGCAGTGGCTTTAGACAGCATCAAAGTTTACGTTAAATAGATTCTAACATTAAAGGAAGAACATTTTAAAACCCGCTATTAAAATCCAAATTTATGTTATAATCTATATTAATATATAAAGCTGAAGAGTTTGTTTATTTCTTTGTTGGTTTTATAGGCTATAAAACATCGCGCAGAGACTAATAGAAGCGAATATGCACCTTTCTGTGTATCCGTTGCGTACGCGATAACGGTTCAAGATACCCAAAAAAATATGTATGCGACAGTATATGATTTCTCTTTTAAGATGATCTTCAAAAGACTGTCGGCGAGGCAGTTTTGTGCTAGTTTTAAAGTAACTTGCAATAACACAGCTCGTGGGTCGGGTCAGTTTTGATGCAGTTTCAAAGTTTAAATGAAACACCGCGATGTCGAAAACATAACGTCGGGCCGTTTGTAAATAAGTCATTTAAGATATTTCGCGTTTTGAACCGTTGAAAGTGTTTTATTTAAATGTACTACGGTTAACTACAGTTTAAAATTATGCGTTATTAATCGAGATATTTTTTAGTGACAGTAACACAACAATAGATGAACGTAACGTTGTTTTTCAGTAGATTGAAAACAGTATATAACTTGGTTGTGTACTGAAATGATTTTCCCTGAAAGATTCAAACATAACTTTGTTGTCAAAGTAAGTCAACTAAAACTACTGCTGAATACATATTTGTCTATTCCTGAATCCTCAAAGGACAAAGGCTGTTCTGAGTTCTTTTGCGCTTTATGTTTGTTCCGAGCTTTGGTTATCGTTAACTTTAATTAAGGTTTTGGAGTTTAACTAAAGGCAAGAGTATACATGTATGCTTAAAGGAAATGATATCAAAAGCTGAGGATTATATTATGTTATTACTATCCGCTATACTACTAATACAACCTTGTATTGTTTACTTTATTCTCATTAAAGAGGTTAGGTTAGTTTGGTCCCCACCGAGGCCAAATTTTTCTGAAATATGTTGGACTTCATCAGGAAATCTGGATATTATATTGTTGGGAGTATAGAAATTCCGTCCGGATCACGAACCACCGTGCATAGATGAAAAAGCCGTGAAGTTTTATCGCGTTTCGGATTTCCGAATATCCAAAGCTAAGATAGGTCGATAGCACATCATGTTTGGATGCTATAGGCAGGGATATATCACCTACCATTAACCTCCTGTTTGTCTGTCATTCTCAATCATAAAAAAGGTTTTAACATGTATCATTTTAATGTCTGACCTTTGAAAAACATTCCGAAAATGTAAACAGAATTGCACGCACATGTCAAGAATACACAAAGGCATACGCTAACATTCCTAGTTTTTATTTTAATCCGTGTCGCGAATTCTTTTCTTTATTAACATGGAATGTGGAAATCCAAAGACAAGTTTCAACGAAAATTCAAACGAGTCAGCTCCACAATTCGAGCAGATGTCACAGTTCTGAATTGTTTTAGAATATAATTACTGATAACGGAATACATTCGATATTTATTTTGCGTTATCCACGCTCAAATAAAGCTTGTTTGTTTGAATGTGCTGATCTCAGGAACTACTGCTTCGAATTAAAAATTATATTTGTATTGCTTAGAGCATTTATTGAGGACACCTATAGGCTATATAATATCATGCCGCAATCAATATGTGCTAAGAAGCAGGGGGAAAAGCCGGGGAAATCCACGTACTGAAGCCGAATCGCTATTAAAGTGAGCGGATTTTTCATCTGTGGACGGTGGACTGGACGGAATTCCTGTATTCCTACTCTATTTAATATCAAAATTTCTAGAAAAATGCAACATGTTTCAGAGAAATTATAAATTGATAGGAAAATGTTTGACCCGGTGGGGATCGAACAAACGACCAGTGTTTAAATAAAACACTTTAACGGTTTAAAACGCGATATATTAGTTAAACTTATTTGGAAATGATTTTTAACTTCGGCCCGACGTTTCGGATGCTTTGCAGCAGCCGTGGTCACGGGGAGACTAATATATCGCGTTTTAAACCGTTCAAGTGTTTTATTTAAATGTGTACTACTCGCGTAAACTGTACACAGTATTTAAACGACCAGTGATTATTATTAGCGATACATTACAAAGTGTTTTTATTATTTTTATTCATATATTGTTTAATCGGTATGTTTTTACCTACACATAGTGCTAATAATTTTTAGCGATGACTGTTAATGTTGTACGTATAGGTCTTGTATTAAGCTAGTTACAAAATGTTGGTATTAAACCAAGGTCACAATTTAATTTAAAGGATATTTACTGAATTCAATTACACAATTTACCAATTCGCATATTGATTTTATATATTAATAAATGATTTTAATTATCTTAAATTAAAAAAAAAAAAAAAAAAAAAAAAAAAAAAAAAAAAAAAAAAAAAAAAAAAAAAAAAAAAAAAAAAAAAAAAAAAAAAAGTTTTTTCCCCCCCCCCCCCCCGGGGGGGGGGGGGGGCCCGGGGGCGGGGGCCCCCCCCCCCCCCCCCCCCGGAAAAAAAAAATAAAAAAATAATTTTCAAATAAGTTTAACAAATAAATCGCGTTTTAAACCGTTGAAGTGTTTTATTTATTCAAGTCCTTAATAGTGTTTGCTAAAATTCTTCTTCTTCGAGAAATACTGATGTTAGTCAAATAAACGTTGACACAGGAAGTGTGTATGACGGTTCCCGTCATATTCGCTTCGCTCGCGCTGAAAACACAATTTCAAATGATACATTTTCGACCGTAGATTCGTCCTATCAATTCCCTCCGAATATCTAGTGTGACATGATGCCTAGCGTGGAAATGCGAATATTTTGTAGCGCAATATATTTTCTTTGTACCGATTTTACCCGTACCAGGGAACGCAGCCAAGTTATCAATTGCAAAATTTAAAAATGTTTCGCATAGGTAAACTTTGATATTTTCACATATTGCACATGAAGCTATTACATAAACTAATTATCGATTTTAGATTGAAAAAAAAAACGACCCAGGCAGGACTTGAAGCGGCACAGCGTTCAGTACTGTTGCTCTAACCACGATTAGATAGTTACAGATATTGTTTCATTAAGAAATAAGTGACGTACCCTGTCTGTACTAATATTATAAGCTGAATAGTTTGTTTGCTTGTTTGTTCGTTTTTTTGGAGAAAACCAACAGTGGAAATTGTGGCATAACGCTCGTTGAAGGCTCCCATTGCAAGTTTAAGAAATCAAAAAATTATGTAAGAAAAAAGTTTCCCCCTAATTAGTCATCTCAAAAAATGTCCGTGACAGTATATTAAGTAAGATAGACATGTACTGTCGCGAAAATTTTAAGATTAACTTGCAAGAATCGCGGGACGCGGACGACGTTGCTAGTAACAGGTAGTGTAAATATATTTTTTCATATTCTCGATTGAAAGATAAAAATAAAAAATACTTTTCTCGTGTCAGTTGCCCTATTTCCGGGCAAGCCATGCATTTACATTGCCAAGGGCGTCGAGCGTTGAGTCTTTGATGAAATTTAAATGCGACGCTGTCAGCCAAAATAAGATGTGGTGTTTCAATTTGCAGCTTGAATATTGTGCGAATGTGGCACATCTTAAATTCACACCCCGTCTAATATAGGATGATAAGTTTTGCAGTTCATGCATATAAAGTGTTTATTTTTATGGTAACGTGTACTCACGATACTTTACTGTCTTGTGAACTTAATAGTTACTTGTAATATCTATACTAACATTCCAAATCAGAAGAGTTCGTTTGAATTGATTAGCAGGTAATTTGAGGAACAAATTATTTTAGTGTTCAAAAATCACGCTGCGATGGGGGAGGGGGGAGATGCCGTTGCGTAGGCTGCGAAAAATAATCATTTTTCTTTATATAATCTAAAAATATGTCCACGACATGACTATCTTTTTAGATTTACTCTGAAGAACCGTTTTATGGAAATCTAATAGGCCAGAAAAATTGGTCTCATATAAAATTCTACGAAATGTTAATAACAAATATAGCGAATAGCAAATGATTACAGTCTATCCCATCCGTGTCAATTGTCAAGCTTCTGAATTCTATTATTGACATAATAATTGGTGTAATTAAATTTTCCATACGAATTTAAACACATAGCTGAAGCGTTTATCGTGTAGCGTTTATATGGTGTTTTATTTAAATTGCAAATATTCATTACAGTTACACCTTAAGTAAGGAATGTCATGTCATGAATTCCTTTATTTCTATTTATATACTGTCTACATAAAAATACATATATTCACTTCTCAGTAATTTATATTATTTATAACCAAGTAATTGATTGATATACTATACATAATACATAAAATTATTCCGTTTATTGTTTTCCTGGAAATCGAATTAAGGACCTCTAATGCCTAAAAATAATCTAAATGCCTTAAAAGTATTAAACCAAGCAGGTGGACATTTACATAACATACTTCAATAGATTTCATGATTAACGTATATACAATAGTCGCTGAGTTAATAACGAACAAGAAAATAAATAAACAAAAATAAAAACTTAACTTATCCTGGGCAACAAAATCAGTACTAAAAAGTAAGTGTTTGAAACTTTCAAGTAACCCAGGAAACGCGTTATAAAAACTTTCAAATGTAATTATGGAAGTGCACCAAAGTGCTGAGATGGAAGTGATGTAGTTGCCGTGTTTGAACTTTTCGCAACTACCACTGTGTTTACGAGGAAAAATTTTGTAGTTACATTTGTAGTTTTAAATTTGGCTTTAGTGTACTTAAAAATGAGGTATCTACACAACAAGTCTGTAAGACTTTGTGTTATTGTTAAAACATTAATTTTTCTTTTAAAATTCTGAGTAATACCCATAACGTAACGTAGATATTATAATAAAATAGCATTCGATTTTTAAATTCCTGACGCATATAGACAGATACATTATCAAGGAAAATGGTAAAGTATCTGGTTATAAAAAAAGCAATCTGTAATTACATATATATTTTGTTAGGATGGTATGTTTGACCTTTAGGGTGTATTACTTGCAACGAAGAAATTATATACTAAACATTCGATTGTGACAAAACTAGTCAAATATATTATGTACCTATTTTGAAATGATTTTGACTGTTTATCTACGGATCAAAAATGTTACTCAACTTGCTAAAATAAAAGTATGCTAATTGTAGGATTAACGTTAAATCTGACATAGATCGACAGCGATTTTATTTAAACTTTACATGTAATTTAAAAATCGAAAATATATTGAAAAATTATTAAGTCGGGCAGGACTTCAACCGGCATCGTCAGCGTTCCGTGCTGTTGCTCTCGCGCAAAAAATGTTGACACGCATGTGTTAAGGTTAAAGCTGTTGCATTGCGCGAGAGGTGCATGTATCAATAAGTTGAAAAAATTCGACTCGGTAGCGCAATTGGTAAAGTAACAGCACGGTACGCTGACGATGCCGGTTCAAGTCCTGCCCGAGTCGGTAATATTTTCAATTTATTTTCGATTCTTAAATTATATCGTAGTATACGATATCATGTGAAACATATTAAAAGCTTTCAAATGGCTGGAGAATTCACCTTCCATCAGGTGAAGTCCTATTTTACAAAATAAATATGTCCTTTATTTATAAGATAATAATTGTAACACTACTAATATAAAAAAAAATATTTGCAGATTCTTTTCGATAGCTTCACACTCGGACGCTTTACATCGTTCACAGAAGATGGTTGCCCCGATGGCTATATGCAAATCCAAGAAGCAAGTAGACCCCAAGTTGGCGGATCTTGGTGTGGGACTTCTTGGGGTCCATCGATATACTACAGCGAAACAAAATCGATTACCTTGATAATAAGACTGCTGCATCTTTCCAAAGAACAAAACAACTACAATTTCGACTTCCGCATGGCGTACAAAGTTTTGAGGAGGGAGTACGCGACGGTTCGTTATGGTGGAACTCCTCCTTCAGGTAAGAGATTGGGAAACTTTAAATTATTTGGGAAATGATTAAGCAAGGTTATTCATAAAGATTACCTAACAATTTCTAAACGACATTGTTTCCATTTTTAAACGTTACTTTGTAACAAAGTTGATACCATTTTTAATTATTACACAATATAAACAATGTATCAAACAAATCAACGGGTCGGGGGTTCGATCCCCACCGGGTCCAATATTTTCTAATTCATGTATAATTTTTTTAAAACCTGTTAGATATTAAATGGGTGGTAGGAACATCGAAAATTCACAAATGAAAAAGCATTATCGTTTAATCGCGTTTCGGTTACAGTCTGTGGATTTCCGAATATCCAAAGCCAAAATAGGTCGACAGCGTTTTGTTTAGATCTAATAAAAGAGCTGATGTTTCTGTATATACTTTATACTGTTTTATTAAGTAGCTAAAAATAACGTCTAAATATGAAGAACACCAAAGCTATACCAACCATCAATATAAAAGAAATCAATATAAAAATGCCATATCTCCATTGAATAAAATATGTATATGTCATAAAAGAGTTACATAAATTCTAATTTCAGAGCGACCCTTTTTCAAACTCAGACCCGTGCCATATCCCGTAAACACATCGCGCGGGGAAGATACGAATATCGCGAGGCCCACAAAAACCCCAGAGTATTACCTCGGGGATTTGATTTCGGGGACTTATTGCTCCCGGATCTTTAGTGACTGCGATCGTAAAAAGTGTAGGCTCCAATCGCCCAATTTCCCTGGAGTCTATCCGAGAAACCTGACATGCTACTACGCGGTGCGCCAACACGAAGTGCCTCAAGGAAAACATGCTTTGATTGTCGTTAAACAGCCTAACGGCCAGCTGGTGTCGATTAGGAGCCAGAAGGCCCTGTACGCTACCAATCAGCAGGAAAGGGGGAACAGTGGGCGCGAGCTGAAATTTTGGCAGCAGTGTGACGAGGTCCAGGACTACGTGACCGTGTATGATGGTTACACCACCCGGGATCCTGTCATTTTGAGGTTCTGCGGAGGAGGAGTGTCTGTACCGGAGGCAATATCGAGCGGGCCCGAACTATTGGTGGAATTCACTACATCGCCGTTCGGAACTTTTCTGCAGCCGGCAACGTCTTTATCTTTACATGGATTTCAATTAGAAATTGAGGTACGTATATCACAAAATCTCATAATTGTAATTACTTGTTTTATTCATTATCAGATATTTTTATTAATTAATAGCCAGATCAAATACTGTCTATAGTTTACGCGAGTAGTACACACTTTAATGGTTTAAAACGCGATATATTAGTTAAACTTATTTGAAAATTATTTTTAACTCTGGCCCGACATTTCGGATGCTTTGCAGCAGCCGTGGCCACTTGGAGACACCCCGTGACCACGGCTGCTTAAAGTGTTTTATTTAAATAACCAGATCGTTATCTAAATAAGCCTCAACAAGCATTACACTTTTAACAGTTTTTGGCATAAATTGTTAATTATTTTTTAACTCATGCCAGTGGACGAGGTTGTAAAGCATTTGAAGAGGTGGGTCGTAATCAACAATAAATAAACTAATTAGTATATTACGCTATTCAACCGTTACAAGTGTACCTATGTTTCGATGTTGACTTCTCACGAGCATACACAATTGATAAGAATGTTTTAGTAATATTTGTAGAAAATAAAGTCTCGGTTGAACAGAGAGGGGCCAATATCTATAGAATTTATTAGTTCGTGAAAATGTTACTCGCATATTGTTTAGCTGTGTGTATGGCAGTGGTATTTCACCTACGATCAAGTAAACCTCAGCTTGTCCCCCTCTATTTATAAAAAAAAAAATCTACAGAACTTCAATCTCAGTTGGCGAAGGACTTAATTTCGTTTTTAACCGTATAAATGTATAAATAAAAAAAAATCTGCGAAATATCCAAATTAATTTAACCCTCCACATAATGTCGATTATTTCTCCACGCACGCTAACCACATAATGGAGTAATAGAGCTAAATTAGTTTACCCACGTACTGGATCAACAACGATAAGGGTTTTGTAAATATCGCTTTAATGACATTTTGTAATTCAGCAAACTCCTCGGTTTTGTAAATACAATTTTTCCTTTGAGACAGTTAAGATTCGTTGCAATTAAGTTATATTTAAGATAGTCTCGTATTCCACTGTCTTTGAGGCAAATCCCAGACGCTCAGTTGCTTGAAACAATTGCGTTTTAAGTTTAAATTAATTCGAATTCAGAGAGGTCTTTTAGTACTAGACTCTGCCGTATTACTAAATTAAGGTTGTTTATATATTTCTATAAAATAATAACACTGCAACTATATACACAATGCAGCTTTAATATTTTTCAAATGTTATTGGACATCATGGCATTAAATAAATGAATTATCGATTTTACATTGAATAAAACAACACGGGCAGTACATGAAACTTTGAATCGTTTTGGACTGTAATCGTCGTATTTTTTATATTTAAAATCTATTTTTTAAGTACATACATATATTCACAATTACACTTCGTTAATTCTTCCCGTTGATTTTTAAATATATATACAAACATAAAAGACAATATAATCCAAAAATTGTTGTTTACATTACGCGTAAAATTCTCTCTAGCAGACACATTATGTATCGTTTTCGCTGATCACATTTTTACAGACAAGTAGTCAAAGTCTGTCTCCAGTTTACTAGTTTAACTAATATATGTCGCGTTTTAAACCGTTGTGTTTTATTTAAAAGGATTATTAGGGTAAAATACGCATGCTAAACGATAAATCAAGACGCGCTAGTCCCCGTTTGGGTCTACGCCAGAGCGTAATTAGCTGTGCTCGTACCGGCCAGTTATAATGGAGCATTCAGTACGGTCGTTTCTATTGTTTCAACTTATCAAATTAGGGCGTGACCTCAAAGCTTTTTTACCCGGCAGGATAAAAATTTCGCCCGCTCATTTCATTCCACCTCGAAGGGGAAACTGTATAATATTATACTAGAAGCTCAATGCGTGCTATACTTTGATTCTTAATGCTCATATCTGTATCTTACGAAGAGAATAAACAAGAAAAAAATATGACAAAGAAAAAGAAATAACAAATATTTTTTATGTGTCTGTCGTTTATTACTTGAGACAATTTTCTCTAGTTTTTGACTAAGCCAGAATAAGAAAACCCCTTTTCCTGTTTATTACGTAACTATCTTAAGGAAAAAATATTAAATTAAAAAAAAATGTTTATTTGTACTAACAAAGGTTCTACTAATTTTTATTTTTTTGGTAGTAATAAACTTTTTAATAATTCTTCTTTTAATAAATCTTAATATTATACATCTGTAAACTTTACATAATTTTTAACTTATAAATACATAATATGGCGGCTTTATATCGATCTCTTATAAGCAACTACGGTGGAAATAAAACACAGTATTAAAAGAAGTAAGCGTGACAGCAGAAAAGGTACTTAAACTTATAATAACAATAATTCTAAAGCTTAATCTACTTTCTAAAAATGATATTTAATCTCTAACCTAATTAAGTTACTTAATTATAGATAAAAAGTGAAAATTTACCATATTCTTGGAAGACACTCTGGACCCTTTTTTATTAGAAGGCCAATTATTTCAAAGTGTCTAATATTGAGCGTGTTGCGTTGCGCTAAGAGTCACAAACCTAGACTCAAATATCGTGAAAGAATAAGAAAATCGGTTAGCAGGGCACAAAAGTTTAATTTACTATACTGTGAATTGTGCCAGCCCCAAGAACCAAAAAGAAAACGGGTGGAAAGCCAAACTTACTAAAACTAAGCTAAAAACATTCGTCGTAAACGAAATCGGCTACACGCTACATGCAATGTTATAAACTATATTTGTTATACAATTTATTGTTTTACCCGATATAATTTCCAGCTCTAAAGCTTTAAAATTATCGTTTAAAATCTGGGTTACCCCGTATCTTAATCCCACTTGACCCCACTTTAGTACATAACGCGCTCGTTGTCTCAAAATGCTGTGAGTGGGGTAATATCTATGGATAATCAATTGATGACTAGGATAGAATAATTCACAGAAGTGGGCGAATCCAATATCAAAACGCAATAAATCAGAATAATAAAACGTTTTAGGTTCGTTTCGTCGATCAGCAGTCGCCGACTTATGCGAAAAACAAAAGAGCTTGCGAATTCTGGATTAGAGGTACCGGTCGAGGTATCTTGGAGCACCCCCAACATTCCCTACCTCCAAACACGACGTGCCTCTATCATATGCAGGGGATTGACACGTCTGGACCCTCGGGCCGTAATATAATCTACAGACGTCAGTTCTCAGCGCCGAGATTTCGAGTGTGGTTTTCGGTATTAAAATTTTATGTGACGAACGCTCTCAATCCGCATTTGCCTGAGGATGAGTACTGCGGCAGCCATTTGAATATATGGGATGGCCCGATGAGGATATCTCCTGGATGCAGTGATATATTTTGGTAAGAACTATTGCATAATATTTAATTTAGTATATGTTACTTCTGTATCCTTATTACCTCATGATTTTAAAAAGATCTATATTTCTTTTACGATGCTAAATATCTGCAACTTCTTAGATTATTACTATCATTATACACGTAAGCATGTGTTATTTAACATTAAAATAAATCACATTTAAGGGTTTAATCCCGAAATATATTAAATTATTGACTTTATTTATTTTAATTTATTTGGTTAACGACGCTGCGCTTCGGACGCTTGCTTGCAGGTGCCGTGGTCACGGGGGACACAGTGTTCGTTGGCGAATATCCAATTTCAAATTTGTTACCAAATATGTATAATGATAATATTAAAGTACAGTAAAAAAATAAAATAAAAATTATTTTATTCGTAATAAAAAGTTTACTGAAGTAATATTACTTTATAACTTATAATGTAATATGTTTTATATGATAAAAAGTGCTAGGATCAGTTATGTTTTTTATAATTTAATAATGAAAATTAATTGTAAAATATCGTAATAGGACTTTTATATTTTCAGTGATAAAGACCGATCAGTCCAGATGTCCAGAGCCACATCACCACAATCAGTTATCGTGGGCCGTCCACCGACAAACGCAACACTAGTTGCGAGGTTCTGCCGGGAGAGGGCGCCACGCACTTGTGAACATGCATTACTGAGAAAGTCTAGAGCCTGTGCCCGAACTGAAAGTTTTTTATCTAAAGGCGACTCTCTGACTTTAGAACTGAAGCTAACACAAGGGACTGCTTTAAAGTAGGTTATTTTAACTTTTGGTGTAGCCAACACTGGTAACCTTGAAACTCTACTGTCTTACTAACCTTAAAACATTTATAATTCAGGCCAGTATTTTTCAAAGCTCTATACGAGTTTGTCGACCTTCATCAAGACGGTGAGCCTTGGGGCAGAGGTCCATGTTCAAGAAGATTTGCCTCTCGGTCTTTTCCTGAAGCTCCCTCTGATCCCCCCGTTACCTTCTCATCACCACGAGATGTCTTCCTATATGGTAGAGGAGGAAATCGGAATATTAGGTAACTGCCAGGAAATCAGACTAGTTCGTTAGGCATTCACAATCCATTTGATTAGAAAAGATATTTTTACGCTGAATAAAACTCGAAAACAATAAATGTAAATGTTATATGTAATGTGTTAATGTAACAGAGGTTATTTTTATTCTAGCTGTACATATCGTTTCGAAGCAAATCCGGGCGAGGCAGTGCGTTTGAAGATTTGGAGTGTCAGAAGCGGTGGAAGGTTGTGCAGATCAGTTCACTCTGCCCACTCCCCGTGGTACAGATGTGGCGGCGAGATCACAGCAGCTGTTAGGGTATTTGATAGACCTTGGAAAGATAGTGGCCCGGGTGTGCTAAGAGATTGTTTGTGCAGGTAGGTTGGTTTTTGGTATTTTATTTTAATGGCGAGAAAATATAATTTTGGTATGCTAGTAGACATCATTATATATATACTATAATCTACGTACGGTAATAAATTCTTTAAACCTAAACGTTTTATTCTAGCGATGTTTTATTTTAGTAAAGAAAAAATACAACTTTGGCATGCGAGTACATATAATGACTATCTAATCTTTTGTTATTTCATTTCACAAAATTGACACAAAAGGCAAACAATTCTTTTTATAAAAACCTAAAACGTTTGAACTTATACAATTATTTAAGAAAAACTGTTTCATTCCAGCGATGTATTAGATTACGAATTCACATCGTCGTCAACAGTAGCAGAATTGAAGTTTGATGTTATCAACATGACAGCCGTTGACGACTTCAGGTCTTTTGGATTCGAAGCATCCGTCGAGTTTGTAAGAGTGGAATCCGGGTGTGAAGGGACTCATCGAGTACACGGTCCCAGCGGCGAACTTCTCTTGTACTCTTCTATTATGGGTATGGTAAGTGAAAGTTGAGATAACAATTTTAAATTATTTTAAGTGATCTTTATGCAAGTCAAGTTTTGTGCTTTTGATAACTTACGACTCGGGCAGGATTTCAACCGGCATTGTCAGGGTTCCGTGCTGTTGCTTTAACCAATTGAGCTACCGAGTTCTACACGTCATTTTTCGACCTATTGATTTATGCACCTGTCGCGCAATGTTAAATAAAACCATAACACGCTTATCAGCAAGTTTCAATGTCTTGTATTAAGTCCTGGCCAAGTCGTGATTTTTTTAAATTTATAATAGATTTTATTGATCTACTTTTCACGATCTGTCCTAATGCGAAATTAAAATTACGTCTGTCATGATTATTTTGCTGTGTTTATGTTTTGAACTGATGTCTTAATTTCTAGGATCGTTGCGATCAACGTCCCTGGTTGATAGACCCTTCCCCAGGTCGCTACCTTTATATGAAAATTGAGGGAAGCGTCATCAAGGAACCAAATCTGGATAACTTCACTTTACTAAATAACATAACTGTGGCACCTGACCTTCGACACATGTGTAGAACTCAGAACCGAATAGCAGTTTATACTGGGGGTTTGGCACCAATCTACATTTGCCCTCAGCCACCACACAGACAGGTAACATTAATGTCTTTTACCGCCTTGATAGGTTTTTAACTTGATTTGATTTTTTACTGCCGCCAAACACGTCACAAAATTAATTATCTCCTTTGAAATATATAGTTGTCACCTATACGTAACTCTAAACTTCGGACTGGTACAAGAATTTCGCATAAGAAAATATTAGATTTAAACTAACATTAGGTAATGTCTTATCTTTTCAGAAGTCATAACCTCGTCTAGTAATAAAAACTCATTTTGAGTCCTCACAATCGTTTAAGGCAACAAGTAACACCAAACATTGTATCTTTACTCTAATTCATAAAATTGTGTCTACTATAAACTTTGTTTTACCTGCCAGGAGGAACAAAGTGTAGAGATATTCTCCGACGGATGGGTAAAAGAAGTGGACCCGTTGGCGAGGCACGTTCTAGCACCAGCACCATCACCGGATCATTTTGATCTAGATTGGCCGAGATCACTGTCAGTTGAATTAATAGCTGTTGAGAGTGGTTCCTACTTCATCACTTGGCTGGAACTGTCTAGAAGGTGCGTATCTGGTTGAACATTGTAATTTTATGAAGAAGATCTACCTTTAGATTTAATAGCATAACTTTTTGGCATAAACCACTTTATTAAAACCATATTTACAGGCAACCAAGCGAGCATGGTGGCGTTTTTGCCCTATCAGGAGATTGCCACTACCGGTGCCCGTCAATTGATGCTTGTATTTCCTCCGCACTGTGGTGTGATGGGATCAGCCAGTGCCCCGATGGCGAAGATGAGCGTCTAACCCAATGCTCCTCTTTCATGAATGCCCCATTCCATTATATAACAGGATTTATAGCGTTCGTCGGGTGTATCGCGTTTGTTGTGGTCAGTATTTTTTTTCCTTTTTAATTTTTTGTATTATTGTTACAAGAGATAAATACTGTTTGTAGTTAATGCGAGTAATGCTTATTTAGATAAAACACTTTAATGTTTTAAGTCCCTCCATCCTTTGTCTCCCCGAGACCACGGCTGCTGCAAAGCATCCGAAACGTCGGGGCGTAGTTAAAATATTAATTTCCTTATAAGTCTAACTAATATATATAGTGTTTTAAATTGTTTAATATAAATAATGAGATAAACAAGTGAATTTATTTAAGTTATCGAACGGTTTGTTATCAGTCACGAAACACTATTAAACGAAATAATGCATCATTATCATACGGGATATCCGTTAAACACGACAACAGATAAAATGTCTCCACTGGAATAGAATCTTTGACTTCAATGGTTATTTTGGTTACTAATATATTTTGGTTTTTCTTGACAGGTAGCAGCAACTCGCAGCTGTCGCCGCCGCCACTCAGCGCTGCAGCAACGCCTCAAGAGTTTCTCCTCAGATACAGCCATATTCGACGAAAAAGAAGTGATTTGCTGACCAAGCGAAGACTCCGTGCGCTACGTGGAAATCGACAGAGTCACTACGGTGTGACTCTCCACGCGCGGAGTCTGGTTAAAATATTGTTAATTGTCATTATGACGACAGAGTTGTGTCAACGACACTTCACTCGAGCGCTGAGCCGAATGGGGCAATTCTCGAAACAGTGATATAAGATACTAGTCGACTTATGTCGTGACTAAATTTGCGGAGTATATAACCCTTTTAATGAGAATTGCACCCCAATATCCAAGTTGACATTGAATAGTTATAAAGAGAGCCTTCGGACCAAAGTGCTGCCGATCGGTCGGACGTATTGTAGTATTGTATGATAATTAATTATGGCTTTGTATATTATTACGTTTTTGTCTTCTATAAACGAGGAAAGTCGCATACAGCATCAAGCGTTACGCTTACTATTGTTGTCTCTTTCTCGCGCTGACAATAGCTACAAAGCGTTGCGCGTCTCAAGATATTTCTAATTGTTGCGTGAACGATACGTCATCTTTGGGGCAATAGAAGAACCAATAAGATTGGAGTAAGCGTCTTGGTTAACGCGTTACGCGACCTACTACGTTTATAGGAGATCGAATTCTTCACTTGCTCAAGGATTTAGTTCCTTAGTTACGCGCTTATTTTGTTAAATATTATTGACTGTTTATTAATAATTTTAAAGAACGCACAATTTTCACTCGGCCGGTCGGTTCTAGACAGAATGTATGAGTTATTTGTTGTATTGTGATCGTAAATGATAATGTATATATTTAAGTTGGGTCGTTGGTTATTTCAAATATAAGTAGAGATAAAAACCTTGCGGCAATAATTATGTTCAATTACGAAATCGAATGTATGCCTGTGTTCCCTAAATTCGTATACGTGATAGATTACTGCCATTTATAATTCATGTTTAAATTAACGAAATTTAAAAGTTTAACAATTTTACAGATTTTTTTAACAAATCAGTCTATTGACCATTGATATAGTGAGTCTTTATTCGTTTACGAAATCCGAATATGTGATTCGCCGGTTGTTCATCGCCAAAGAATGTGTTCAAATTTTACGAGGAAAGTTCATTAAATCGTGACGTCATAAAAATAACTGGCGGACCACGTACTCGCCCGCAATAAGCAATTAAAAGAAGATATCCTAAACTGTATATAATATTAAAAGTAATTCATATCTTAGTAAAGTATTAAAGTGATATAAAATTTGTTTCCCAAGGAAATTATTGAAATTAATTATATCGAGTTAACTATTAGTAAATTGTAGAAATATTTATAATGACCTCGTAAAGATTAGGATGATATAAATAGGTGTGGAAGTGTATTGTACCGTACCATTGCATTTTGACAGTCGGCGCATCAAATATGAGTGAGTAATAGTTAACAAAGTTAAAATACGCTCGATGCCTATAAATAAAAAATCATTGAGATATATAGACTGTTAACATCAAGGGGACTTTGATTATTTAACTATTATCTATTCAGGTATTGCAAGAATTTACTGACGTCACAAAGATTCTGCTAAAATCCTCAGAGTAAGTTATAGATGATGTTGGAATGAATAGTATTGAACAAGGACTGTCAGATGTAAATGGTGAGATAAAAGTTATGAACTATGAAATAATTTTAGACTGAAAATATCGTTGGCAAAGACGGTTTACGTTTGAACACCTAAGTCAAACGTAATTTCTTTTCAATCTAAATTTATTCAAGTCGAACACGCTCTCGTGTGCGTTAAATGTGAAAATTATTAAAAAATTACGTAAGGGAAATATCAACTTAATCTGAATACATTTATGTCACTTAAGTGAATGATACTACAGGAACTAAAAGTAAAGCTTATATAGCAACTGGCTTTGAGTTATATACACGACGATGAAAACGTTTACAGTAGCAGGTCATCTTAAATGTGTTATTATACAAATGTTATATTATGCCACCCCCATGGCCCAACAGTTAATTACGAGGTCTCCAAAGATCTAATTCGGAGAAGCGTGAATGTATCATAGAAATTGGATCAAGTACAAACGAAATCAAATTGTCATAAAAATATGTCAGTTCCATAACAGATTTCATATGGATATGATGGCAAGAAGATTCAAATGGAAAATAATAAAGGAATAAAGCAACCTTTAGATTTAACAGAGAAAAGGTCAGTTATTGGTAATAAGAAGGAAGCCAGATTCCTTCTTAATAGTAAAAAAAATCGACACAAAGATGATTAGAATCAATATTGTGTCGTCGTTAGTGAATTTGTATTCAGACAAAGCGGTTCTCGATTAAAAGTTTGAAATTTGGATACGTTACGAAAATTGTTTACGATATTTCGTTTAGATTAAGTAGAATAACGATGACGTAGAAATATTTCGTCTTCCATAATATAAAATTCCGGTATAATTTTCCGTTTTAATTTGAAATGGTTGGTTAACTGCAGTTTGGAATAACAAATCAGGTTATCCTGGAAGACAATAATGGAGGTTTTAAGACAGAGGCATAATTTCACATTCACATGTTAAAAGTTATGATGATAAGAGGGTTTTAAATAAAATTATTTACTGCATGGTTTTTGTGTCTTATTTAAAGAAAACGAATCAACACCTTCGAATAACCTTTAATAAAAAAACAATATTTCTAATGCATTACATTCTTTGATAAGGCGGCGTGACTCTCTTTTACTATCTCCGTAATGTCCTCTGCTGGCCTCCTTGACGTTATAAGCCAAGTTCCTCCGCTGCAACTCTTATCAAATGCTTCCAACACACCTTTGACGGCGTCATCGACTCTACAAAAGAAAGAAAAAGCGCATTAATGACAAGAAATGCACTAACGGTTTAATAAGCGATATATATTAGTTAATCTTATTTGAAAATTATTTGAACTAAGACCCGATGTTTCCAATGCTTTGTAGTAGCCGTGGTCACAAAAAGACCAAACATGGAGGTTGTCGATTATATCAAAGTCGAACCCTAGCGCCACCTGTTTCGTAAATGACTTTGTTTTCGCGTTTTTACAAATATGTATGGAATCTTTACGTACGTAAGTCATACTCGGACTTGGCATGTTTTGTATTATCGCGAAGTAATCAAGTAACGTTGTGGTATATGACTCATGTTTGTACGGAATGTGTACGGTTGTGGCATAGACAATTAGTTACTAAATCTATATGTTTTATATGTATTCTTAGCCTTTCCATTTTCGGGGGAGGCTAGGATGCTACTAAACTTATATCATAAGGCTATGTAGATATGTTTAGAGTGTAAATATTTTATTAATTCGGCATTGTAATTGTAAATTTTGTAATTGGGCGACATAACTTAATAAGGTTAAAGCCTACTAAATAAAGATTAAAAAAAAAACGTTATAAAGCGACTGTTTGTCTAGCTCTAGCTTTTAATTTTGATTTTAAAAAGTTCTTTAAATTTTCGTTAAATAAGGAAATGTCTGTTACACTTTCACCACCACGGTTACTCCAAACTATCCGCGACGTCGGTAGTTAAAACTCATTGTAGATAAGCTAATATGTTTCTCGTTTTAAACCGTTAAAAGTTTTATCTAAATAATTCTAATTAGCACGGACGTGCGCTTGGCATGTATATTTATATTGTTTCTATGTTTACCCTTGTTTGGGCATTTCCTTCAATGCAGGCGGTATCATGTCTTCCATGGTCGGTTCGATGGCACTAATAGCAGTTATTAAATTTGTTTCAGTAGTCCCAAAACATAGAGCGATCACTCGAACTCCTGTTCTATTGTAATTCAGTTCGGCCTGTAAAAAGTGTTCATAATAAACACACATGTTAAAATACAATTTTCAGTGCCACCTACAGAAATACTTTGCAATGTGTCTGTAGCTTAAGCGAATGATAAACATTTAAATAAAACACAATGATTCTAGGTGACAACCACCCATAGGTTAGGTGGTTAAGGCAGTTTTAAAATAAGTCGACTAATACGTTTCTTGTTTTAGTTTAAAGTGTTTTATTTAAACCTTCATATTCTTTGATAACTCAAGGCAATAGCTGCAATTAGTAAGTGACCGGTCATACTGGAACTTGTTGGGTTTATATCTGGCTCTGAAATTTAAATAGTGAGAAAGACTTTCAAGCAGCGAAGCCTGAGTTGGTATGGGATATGTTCATAGAACAATTACAAAGAGCGGTTTAGCATTTTTTCCGAACCAATATTGGGTCCAAAGTCTCCATGGTTTTGGACCGCTGTTAACACCATTGCCCCAGCTAGGTGACACAGGATATTAAGTCAAAGAGTAAGTCCTCACGTTTTGCACTCGATTATAACCACTAGACTAATTAAGGAGTTTTACTCACCCCTAGGCAATTACTAAATTGTAATACTGCCGATTTTGCTGCACTGTATATCGGAATAAGGGGGGTCTGCATTAATGCTAGTATAGAAGAGATATTGATTATGGTACCTCCTTTACCACCATTATCTTTGCGCATTAAGTGAAAGGCTTTCAGCGAACCCCTTATAAGAGCAGTCTGTAATAAATAGGAATAATTCACATTTATAATAAATCAAACTGATTCCGTTTCCTCAGGGCTACATAAAAAAATACGATTTTTTTAAAACTATTATACTATACACGCACCGCTCGCGCAATGTAAAATTCATTAAATTCATGTGATAAATATCAAAGCTTTCAAACGATTTTATAATGTTAATCAAACTTTTGTACTGAACAAATAGTTATATCGAGATTCGAGTCTAGGTATGACCACAAATCAATTAACTTTTACTACAAAGACAGAGGTTAGACCATATATAATAATTCATATACCGCTATTGCTAGAAGTGATTTACTAAAGGATGACAGACAAGAAGGTGATGAAACGAAATGATCACTTTTTGAGAGGTGAAATGAGGGCCTTTATCAAAATTCGCAGAAGACTTGTTTTTGTACAGACTAGCACTGCATTAGACTTGCGCCATACTAACGAAGTTATTTCTGATCCTAAAGAACATTTCTTTTAGGGCCATATTTTGGCACGTGGTTAGGTGAGGAGGAGATCTTCAGCAGGTGATATGTAACAGCCCATAAACATTCTTGTATATTTAGAAAATATTATCACTAATATATGTTTTTATGATAGAGATGAACAGACGAGCAAGAGGTTACTTGATGATAGGTGATATACCCCAGCCTATAGCATCGAATCAAGATGCTCTGCCAATCTTATTTCGCTTTGGATATTCGGAAATCCACGGACTGAAATCGGGACTTGTTTAAACTTGGCTTTTTCATCTGTGGACAGTGGTTTGTGACTCGAACGGAATTTTGCTAATCCACCCATGAGATATCCAGATTTCCAGACGAAGTCGAACGGGTTTAAGAATAATTACAAATTGATTAGAAAAATGATAGACCCGGTGGGGATCGAACTAAAGATTACTACCATGACACCAACGAGCCTGTTGTAAGTAGCTTACCACATTTACTTCTAGTGCTTTTACATAAATCTTGGGAGAGTCATGCATAATACCAGCATTGTTGATCATAACATCAATATATCTGAACTCTTTCGCAGTACTGTCGAATGCTTCGTCCAGTTCTTTCGTGGTCACGTCACATTTGTGAAATTTCGCCTTATTTGCACCATGTTTCCTATTCAGTTCTGCTTCTAACGCCTTTCCATCTTTCCCATTAATATCTAGTATTGCTACGTGCTGAAATTATTAATAATTTCAAGAGTTAAAGAAAACACTTTAGTTATTTGAAATGCAAATAACATTCTGTAAATTAAAATAACACAGTTTAACTACAAAACATTTTATCTACGGCTCGACGTTTCGAATGCTTTGTACTAGCCGTAGTCACGGGGAGACGGGCTGCTGCAAAGCATCCGAAACATCGCGCCTTAGTTAAAATAACTCTTAACTAATATATGTCACGTTTAAGCCGTTAAGGTTTTATTTAAAAGTGTATTACTCGCGTAAACTACAGACGATAGTTAACATTTGGTAATTTATGTTTAACGGCGACCTGACGATTCGGATATAAAACATGTCACCCGTCGTAGTTGAAAATTGACCAAATATAAATTGACATTTCGCATTTTTAAACCATAACAATTAATAACTACACGTTTATTCATTTTATAACAAACAAATTATGGAAATTACCGTCTCCCACAAATGCGTGTTATCAATTACCTATTGTGTACATTTTAATCTTTAGGTACTAGCGTAATTGTATAGCGTACATTAAGCTATATTATTACCGGCTGTCTTGATGGTTTGATAATAAAACTGCCAATACGTTGCCGCTAAAGAATATGTCGCTATGCCACGACAACCGATTGCCACGCTACTGTTACGCGTATATCGTGCGCACAAAGTACGGTACGAAAAGTCTTAACGGCCGCGTTAACTATCTATCAATACAATGCAAAGTACTTGAGACGCGAACCGTGAGAGGAGCAGCGTCTATGGGCAAAGTACTCGCGATGCGTGCCGTGTCGATGTTAGAAGCAAACTAGTTGGCCTGCTCCCAGAGCCCTCTTTTATAGTATATTATTCCAGTCATAAGAGAGAGAAATGGGTTGCAGGTATTGAGTGTAACGTGGCATTAGATTCATGGGAATCAGACTTTATTGTTTCAGAGCAAATACTTAAACTAATGGCGTGACGATTTCTTACGTTTATCAACGCTTAAAGTAAACGTAACTTATCCAATAGCAGCCAAGAAATTGTACCTTTCTAAAGTGGATACAAAACAAAGGGTCTATTTAGTGTTACAATGTATGGCCATACAACGCATTCCTAATGTTTAATTTATTTATTTATATGCTAGTTCTCGAGAATTATTGAATATTACTATGCTTTAAACCTAACGCGAGCTGTCCGGAACAGGTACCTTCTATACAATAAAAGTACAGTAGGTATTGTAATTAATTAGACTTAATAGTTTATACATTTCTATGTGTACTACGGACTTATTTGTAAGGCAATACTGAAGCTTTTCTGTACTTGATTGTCTAAACTACTCGTCAGTTGTAAATTTTAAGCGTGTTATAGTAGAATAAAAACTGGTCTGATTGTTTTCTGTCCGGCGACTGGATGATTCTTTTCGCGGTTCTCGACACAGACAGCTTGGTACGTATGTGCTAAAAGCGGCTTTGTTCCATTGAAATAAACTTCAATTTTATATTGTGTTCACCGAAGGTTTCTTTTACACAGACGTGTTGCGACAGTAGCAAGCAAGAATTGCTGATCTCAGAAAATCCTAACTACTTAAACTATTTAATTTTCGTATTATTCACATTTTAAATGCATTTATATTATTTGAAATGCTACTACGATTCTCCTCAATCTAACGAGGCCTCAATTGGTAGAGCAACAGCAGCATTATGTGCAATAATATGAGAAAAATATTATAGTTTTCAATTCTTTCATATACATATATTTTTTGGGTTAAACATGTTTTTGCAGCGCACGCAACGCATCAAAGATGGAAAATTCCTTCCATTTCCGGTTTTTTTTCACTTTTTCCTTCGTAGCCTAATATTTTATAGCCTTCCTAAAAAAACCTTCCAGCCAACACAAAAAAAAATCATCTAGGAGTTTTTGAGATTAGCGCGTTCAATCAAACTTTTTAGCTGTATAATATTAGTATATATAATTCTCGGGAATCGAATCCGTAGCTTACCTTCGCTCCCTTTTCAAGTACAGCCCGGGCAATTCCTGCCCCGATCCCGCCAGCAGCGCCAGTTATCAAGAACACTTTGTCCCGAATTTCACACATGACCGTCTCGGTTGACTTGTAACTTACAAATGTCAATAAATAATGTGGCATGTTTTTTAATTATCATCTTTTATACTCTAGCGCTCTTAGACTTTGCATCAATTAAAACATTGTTTGCATTACTTATTATTTGTTATCATTATTCTAATATATTTATTTACCTTTAAGGATAAAAACTAAAAAGCAATTATATGTGTCCTTGACTGGGCAAAGTTACACTCCTAGATTTAAGGTTTATTTTCCGATTAGACTATTTTTTATGACAGAGGAGGCATGCGGTTTTCTAGTTAGAAGGTGAAATATTTTAACTTCGGATATTCGCGACCGCGCTCCGGACCGCGACTTCACGCCTTTTTATCTGTGGAGGGTAGTTCGTGACCCGGTCGCAGTTTATATTCCTACCATTCACGTAATATCCAGATTTCCACAAGTAAATAAATAATCAGTTTATTATCACAAAGTACAAAAATTACAACTTAAATGAGTAATAAAAGAAAACAAACTCACAATTAAAAGAAAACAAAAAAGTAAACTTTTAACTTTGTGCCAAATATCATCAAGAGTCAGCATGTGCTCAGCAAGGCGTGCTAGGCGCTGATTTTCAGTTTGTCCCTATCAGATAACAAGTAGTAGTCTAAATAGTAGTATAACATCGAACAAACATGCTACGGACTTTGGACTAAGTTAGGGGATTCTATGTTTTTCAAAAGTGCTGCTGTATATAGTTTTGAATATAATTTATTTATACTATTCACATTTGTACAATACTAGCACACACCACACTATTATTTTGACTTTTGATAGTAAATAAAAATATTTAATTTTTATGATTAAAAGAAGAATAATTAAATACCATCTATAGTATGGTTTAAAACGCGATATATTAGTTAAACTTATTTAAAAAAGATTTTAAACTTCGGCCCGACGACCTGTCTCCCCGTGACCACGGCAAATCGTTAAAGTGATTTTTAAAATAATAATTTTAAAAATTGAGCCTTTCCTTTGTTCATAAGCAAAATCAGCGCAAAGAAAAATAGTATGTGCTGAACATTGAATTTTGCATCAAAATAAAAATATTTCTCTTGTGCTGATTTGTATCCTAGGTGAGCTGTGTTTTTTGTAAAAAAAATTGTTCTGACGTAAGAAATTATAAAGTCGAAGAACTTTTCAATAGATTATTTGCACTGCGTTTTGCTTTCTTTTTACGTTGTCCTTCTTTACGCACAATTTGTTCGTTGTTTGTATCTTATGCCGTTCGCAAATTCTGAAAATTTATTAGAACTATGTTTTTAAATTTATTTTGTTCAAAGCAACTTAGCACTGCATAGAGAAATCCAACTTTTCTAACTTTATATATCAAAAACAAATGCACAAAATAGCTATGATATCTAAGAAAAATAATTATAGTTTTCTAAAAAGCAGTGGACATCAAACTATTGTAAGAAGTGTTGACAATGCGGTTTTGAATTGATTTCTAAATACTGCACCTAGCAGTTAAAGTATGTATTATACTTTGAAAAATAGACAATAATAAAGAAATAACGATCCCACCTTTAATAATAATAACCACTCAAATTATAAATAAAACAAATAAATATTAAGAGTTAATTAAAATATAATAAGACAAATAAATTAATATTATATCTCTTAGCGTTAAAGAAATTTAGCAGTAACTTGTCAATAGAATGAAACATCTTATGACAAAAAAAAAACAAATTTAAATCCCTATAGCACCAATGTTACAAAAACATTATTTAAATTGATTTATGAGAAAACACCCTTAGATAAAGATGCATAACTCTCTTTCACTGTCTGTGTGATGTCTTCTGCTGGTCTCCTTGATGATATCAACCATGTATCACCACTGCGACACTTTTCGAATGCTTCCAAAAATCCTTTAACAGCATCGTCAACTCTGCAAAAAAAAAGAAGACATAAGGAAAAATTGATTTAGATTTTTTTTAAAGCAGTTCACGATAATTACGGTTGATAGGGCAATATGATTGATTCATTGGATTGCTTGTTTTATTTGGTTACAAACAAATACATATTTTAATAAAATCGATTTAGAGTTTACAGCACTATACCTATTATTGCACTAAATTCAGTGAGCAATTCAGTACCAAAAGTTGGTTGGCGATCTACTTTTACTACTGGAACCATGCAGGTTGGCAATTCCTTACCGAGTCGTTCGACTGATCGTCTTCACGGTTCGACGACTGGTATAGCATAAACAGATGGTGCCCATTATAAATACTTTGGAACGTTTAAGTCAAGGTCAAAGGACAAGGTCAAGGTCAAAATTACATGTTGGTAACTAGCTACACTTACGAACGTCACACCAGTTAAAACTCAAAGACTCTAAATTTACATCAAAGTAAAACAAATTTCTTTATAAAGAACAACTCATAGTTTCTTTTGAACTGAATTTTCCTGTTAAGCGCTATGTTGAAAAGGTCAAACAAGCTGTTCATATCCGGGTTTATGTATTAAATTGTTACCCCTGTTTTGGCATTTTATCTAACGCTGCTGGAAGAATGGCTTCCATTGTTTTGTCTACGGCTCCGATGGTTCCATTTATTAGATTTGTGTCTGTAGTTCCATAGCACACGGCGACAACTCGAACCCCCGTTCTGGCATAGTTCTGTTCAGCCTGAAGTTCAATAACATTGTAGTTAGGTCTTTACATATTTTGCTAAGATACTTCTATTGTTAAATAACATCAAAATGTTTATAGGTTGATTAAAAATCTTTATCGATAAAAACTATTAATTATATCTTCTTTGTATACAAATCCTTTGACTACAGAACCGCGAATTTTGTACAAAATAAGCATAAGTAGGTGATGCGTTTACTATTCAGTTATGGAAACGGTCAAATATTGTTTATCATAATCATAGCATCTAGTCTTCTTGGTATTGACATTGCCTGAATCGTATGTTAACTTATTATATTAGAGTACAATTTATCTTTGTGACTTGACAATTCCAATTAACGACCGCACCACGAAAACGTCAATTCTTAAAGCCAATTTTTTGATGGTTGATGACTCATATGTGAAAATATTCCATCACTGACAAGAATGTAGGGTCAAAATTTAAATAAAATTGCATCAAATCTTAGAATGGTAGCACGTGGTCAAAATATCAGATTGTTATGATCAAAGTGCCTCACTACTAAGTGAATCCGGTTCATTTTAAAATCTATTACGCAAACGCGTTAGATCTTCACAAAAACTTCGCAGTTTTTTGTCTATATCTTTTATTCTCGGATCATTATTTACGTTTTGTTAACCATCTAATAATACTACGATATAATAGCCACCAACAATATAGTACTGATATATTTTTAGATTCAAAGCATCTGATTCAATTACATTAATTAATTAAAAAAAAACTCGTAAGTAAATAATTCCAAGTACCTCCAGTAGTTTGCGCGAGTAGTACAAATTAACTAAAACGCTTTTAACGGTTTTAAACCCGTGATCGTGACAGCTACAAAGCATCAGAATAAATTTTAAAACCGTTACAAATTATTTAGCAAATTTAAAATGCAAAAATTGATTACACATTATTTCAAGTGAATCAATTTCTTTCTTATTATGAATCTAAAAAATCAGGTAATGTTAAATATCGGAAGCGTTTAAATACTTACACCCAGACAGTTACTGAACTGCAACACTGCTGATTTAGATGCACTGTATATCGGAAGGAGGAAAGACTGCATCAGCGCAACTATGGATGATACATTGATGATGGTGCCTCCTCGTCCACCGTTCTCTTTGCTCATCAAGTGATACGCTTTAAGAGAGCTTTTGATAAGTGCGTTCTGAAATAAATTATCATCAAAATTATGTCATCATCAAGAAAAAATTATCAAAAGTTCATCATTTAAATAAAACGCTTTAACGGTTTCAAACGCGATATATTGGTAGAATACACATTTTCAAGTAGGTTTAACTAATATATCGCGTTTTAAACCGTTAAAGTGTTTTATTTAAATGTGCACTACTCGCGTTTACTATAGACAGTATTTAAAGCTTCATCATATTTATTTTTTGCCAAAGTCTAACTTTCGGGTGTTCTACACCTAATTATGAAATAAAGAAAATAAATTTTATATATGTGTAACATAGCTAGGCAAATAAATCGATTTATATATGACATAAGTATTAACGTGTATTATTTATTAATTTCTTTATCGGGTATAATTCAATTACAGTCTATGGCCAGAATTTCATTCGTTTTACGTTACTGTGTTATAACATAAGTAAGACAATTGAATTTTTCAACATTAAACTAATATTTATTATTTTAAATCAAAAAACATATTATGGAAATCGAAACTAATTTTTTAAGCAGGGATAAGTATATCTAGTTATAAAGCATGATCTTCAAAAATGTTAACCTCGGATTTACTTTTATGAGTTTTTTGTGACTGGTGTGTGCTCGGAATCCAGGATTTCTGAATTTTCCAAACATGCTTTAACATGTTTTAGAAGTAATTATTCCATTAAATTGACTATGCCTCAAAGTTCACTTACCACATTAACGTTTAATGCTTTTAAATAAATGTCCGGTCCGTCATTCATTATACCAGCATTATTGACTACGACATCAATATAACCGAATTGCTTAATAGTGTCATCGTAGGCATCATCCAATTCCGTTGTCGTTACGTCACATTTATGAAACTTCGCCGTCTTCGCTCCATGCTTGTCATTTATTTCCTTTTCTAAAGATTTTCCATCTCGTACGTTCACATCCAAGATTGCTATATGCTACAATTAGTAATTATTTATTTCAATCAAATTGTCAAACACTCACTGAACAATCTTATCTTTAAAATGACTAATTGATAGATATCATGTATTATTTCCTTAAACATTTAATTTCTAAAAAAAGATATACGTTACAATCTTTAAGTAGAAAGTTGTAGATATACTAATCACGATATTCATGTAGGTGAATGAACTATTAGGTCGTTCGGAAAGTATTCTTTTTTGTATCATGGGATACAACGAGCTTCGAGGATAGCCCCCAGCCTTTAAAGTGGTTAGAAATGGTTGACTTTGATAAATTTAACCTACATCCAATTATTCGTTGGTTTGCATCAACCATTGCTGTAAATTTACCAGTTTCAACTGGCTATCCCGTACGTGGTTTATCTTCGACATCAAAGTTGCTCGTTCGAAGTCGACTCTCACCGTTATGCATTTTTTTAAATGTGTATCTTACAATGTTCTCAGTGAAACTTCTTAAGGAACTGTCTCTGAGTAAACACATACATTTAGATTTCGTTATATTCCTGTAGTATAGTATGTACTACTGTTTTGCTGGTCTATGAGAAATTGTTATATTACTTTTACTTGAATTACTTGCAATTGTTGATACACAATTTTTTCTATTATATATTAGTTAAACATACAAACAAGCTCTCAAAGCGTATGATAATTATACACATAATTAAGGCCTCAGTCCAAAAAAACTAAATTACTCTCTGATCAACCTATTACATTGATTGAGTAACCTTGGTCAAAAGTATTAACTACTTATATTAGTTAGACTAATAACAAATCTAAATTTACTTTTGTAAGGAGCAGTTATTGAATTAAACGGAAGTAAGCGATATAATAATTGAATGTGGACATATATAAGAGGGAAGCATCCCAACCGTCACCCAAACAATATTTCATACGTTTCTATCATCTATACTAGCTGTGTCAGCGATTTCGTCCAGTTTGAGCAACGAAATTCCTTTTTGTAAACCTCCCCTTCATTTTTAATAATTTAAGTGGTCACCCACGACTTCGGTCGCGTCCCGTCGTTCATGCAAGTTAATCTTAATTCTATTTAGATAATTTGAAGAGGAATCCTTTTTTATACATATTTTTTTGGTATCTTCGACCGTTTTCGCATTCTACGCAATGGAAACCTACAAGGATGAACAATTTTTCCCGTTTTTTCAACATTTCCCGCTCTTACTCGCTCCTATTAGTCTCAGCGCGATGTTTTATAGCCTATAGCCTTCCGCGATAAATTCTCTCAATAAACCAAGAATATTTTTTCAATGTCGTTCCAAGAGTTCCTGAGATAAGCGCGTTCAACCAAACAAACAAACTCTTCACCTTGTTTCAACTAAATTTAAATCATCTAATAATTATTAATACAGTAGAACCGGAATCAAGAGAAACTGTAGTGACCGGTAACCTCATTACCCAATTAACATAGTTTGGTTTTGGCCCATCAATTTTTTTCAAAGGATAGATCAGGACATATAATTAAAGGGGTCTGTAGTTTACGCGAGTAGTCCAAATTTAAATAAAACGCGTAATAAAAATATATATTAGTTCAAATTATTTGAAATTTATTTTAACTACGGCCCGACGCTCCGGATGCTCTGCAGCAACCATGGTCTTGCGTATATCGCGTTTTAAACCGTTTAAGTGTATTTAAGCCATATAACACTTGCAACACTGTCTTTTAAACATTTATAATATTATCGAAATTTGCCACTTTGTTGCTTATTATATGATATTTGATATTCCTCATCCCCAACTGTGGTAGACCATAGAAACAATGCGGTTAGTCAAAAGGTACCTTATACAGATGCGCGGATTGTGTGTCTCAAAAGAGAATAAAGAGATATAAATAAGTAACCTTTGCTCCTCTCTCAGCTAGAGCGCGAACGACGCCTGCGCCGATACCACCAGCCGAGCCGGTTACCAAAAATATTTTTCCTCGCACTTCACACATGACTATTTCGTATCGTTATTAGCGGACGACTGTTGGATCTTCACTATGAACTTAACTGTTGTCTGAATAATTTTGAACCTTTTATACGGGTGCGTTTAGTAGATTAAATTTACAATTACGATAAAAGGTTGTGTTTATCATAATATCTTATCTACGATTCTACAACATATTAGCTTTTGTCTTAGTGTCGTTGACGGTACAATAACAGGCGTTTCAAAGTGTCTTTTTTATCACTGCATCATTTATAAATCCCTTAAATCAGTTATTATTGTTACGATAATCCAAATACATAAATGCGCCACGTCTTATCCTGCTGACCCGCTATGACCGACCGCTGTTGAACATCGGAAATGTCGGGTCATAATAAAATAAACTTAAATTGTGTAAATATACTAATTAATAAAACTGTGGAGTTTGTTTGTTTGAACGTGCTAATCTCAGAAACTACTAGTTTGAATTGAAAAATTACTTTTGTGTTGGTTAGAATATTTATCGAGGAAGGTTATAAAACAGGTGCGCACTGTGACTAATAGAAGCGAAGAAACAATGGGAAATGTGGAAAAACGGGGAATATTATCTCTATAATACATATATTCTTTAAATGATCTAAAAAAACTCCGCGGCACTAAAAAAGGTTTGTACTATACTAATCTACGCGGGCGAAGCCACTGACAAAGCTGGTATTAATATAAATTAATCACAATTTTTAATCAAAGACAAAAATTATATGTAAATACACCCTTATAGTAATAAATAAAAATATATCATTATAAATTCTACTTTTGCGGTGGCATTATATGCTGTGCACCTATAAAAGAAACCACAATTTTATCTGAAGAACATTTAACAAAATATAAAAATAGAAAAATAAATCTGGAACGTTCTGCTCTTTGAATGGAATTATAAGTACTACGAACCCCCCAACCCCCCCCCCCTTAGGTTCCCGCATATTTAAATTAGCCCTGTCCCGAAATTATGGTATTGCAGACTTTTTTACATACTTTTTTTATCCGAACATGAATTTACCATTAACATTTAACATATAGGGCAATCAACGAAAATACCTTAGTTTCTAACAATAATTATAGACCAAATATAACCCTGTTTTAATTTAAATAATACTATTTTTTTAAAGTTTTAAAGCGTTTTAACTATAGATGGATGAAAAACTTAATATTTTAAAGAGTTATATTTCCAGATCCTCACCAGGTCTAACTTTTTTTTTCACCTTCCTCTAGAAATCTGGGTATTAAATGAGTGATAACAAAATGGCGTCCGGATCAAGATCACCGTCCACAAATAAAAACGCCGTGAAGCTTAAACGCGTTTTGGTGTAGATTTTCGAATATCCAAAGCCAAAATAGGACGACTACGCATCTTGTTTACATGTTACATGACATTATTTCACCTTCCATCAAGTGACCTTCATGTTCCTCTGTTCTCCTATATCATAAAAAAGAAAAGACCGTTGAATGATTTCGAGCCACTGTGCCCTGTTAGGTTCATTGTAATCAACAACATTCAAAGTCAAATATCGTTTGCTATCTGGTAAATTGATGATAATACCATTTTAAAACTACGTTTCAATTGTTATATTAGTATACTGTCACTTCTTTCAAGAGACTTTCTCCTTTGAGGGAATAAGTAGGTCTAAGGGTTTATTGCAGACAAAATGTCCATGGATAGATGTCACATATCTTGAATTTTTTTTTATGTCAGCTTATTGTCTTGCCAGTTACTTCACAGTGTTTTGTTAACCAGATAGCACGATAAATAATTTTGTTGCAGAAGCGGGGATCGAACCTATGAACTAAGAGGTATTTTTCTTCAAACATTGTATGTAGTTTCTCCGTTATAGTTTAAGTAACCTAGTATACCTGAAGAGATAGCAGGAAGACATTTTGTATTAAGCATGAACATTGTTTAACTAGTCTTTCGAAAACTATATTTAATGTAGCTTAAAAACATTGCTAAAAGATTACCTATAAATACTGTGGAAACCCTTTAACGGTTTAAAACGCGCTATATATTAGTTAAACTTATTTGAAAATTATTTTCAACTACTGCTATTTAAATAATTATTTTAATCCTTTTCGAATAAGTTTATCTAATATAAATCGCGTTTTAGCCCGTTAAACTGTTTTATTTAATTAAATCACCTATATTCAACGCTGAAGAAGACCTTTGGGTTGCACCTATAGACCGAATGGGATCACAGTCCCAGCAGTGGGAACTATAAAAGAGGCAGATTGTAAAATTTACGTATTGATGCGAGTATTGTTCGTTAAATTGTTGATCGCAAACTTTCACGTTACCTAGGTCAGCTGTTATTGTGTTTCTACAATATCCTTTTCCGTTAAATTAATGTATGAATGATTATAACGTAATTGAATAAATTAGATAAATTGTTAAGCGGGTACAAAATGTACATGTCTATGATATTTTTTTATTGCAAACATAGCACTAATTTCTAAAATAACTAATTTATAATTTTATCTATATCTATACTAATATTATAAAGAGGAAAGATTTGTATTTTTGTATGTAACGGGTAAACTCAAAACGTTTTTTTTTAATTTAGTGAATCATCATCATCATGATTCATACATCATGAATCATGGTCGTTTTAATTCGTTTGCTTATAATTTTAATATGTGTACTTATTTATGTCTATCCGTGCGAAGCCGGGACAGGGCCGCTAGTAATTTATACAAATATATTGCACAGGCCTTAATATTTCTTAAAGAATTAAATGCTAAAATAAATGAAATTTAACAACCCAGTTCTTTGAAATCGGATTGCATTTAGAAAATATATAAAAATATTCCGTTTTTTGCATTTGTTTTTTTATTTAAAAATCGAAAAAATTAAAAATTTTCGACCCGGGCAGGACTTCAACCGGCATCGTCAGCGTGCCGTGCTGTTGCTCTTTAAACTGATCAACAAGTAGAAATAAAAGTAAGTATATAGATAAGAGAGAGTGTAGAGAAGTCAGACATAAAAACAGAGAAGCAAGTATCCCGCTGTAAACGCATCTAAATGGTGATGGACAATCAAATAATAATAACAGTCTGAAGAGATTCGACAGAATTTTAGGCCGAAAATTACGTCTTTTTAATTAACTTCCGCCATAAAAAAAATGAGTGCGCCTCTAAACACAATTGTTTGTATAGGTCGCTGTCACACTTAGCTCTCGCAAAGTAACTTAGACTATAAACAGGGCGAATACGATATTCCATTGATTAGGTACAATTTTATATTGTAACAGGAAATTCACCCAACACGGTCGCAACAATAAAAAAATAATTAAAAAAAAATGTGTGGTGGAGGCACGAGACGCGAGTAGTACACATTTAAATAAAACCAAATCCAGAGTTCCAAACTCTGGATCCCAATAAAAAGCATACCGGCAAACGCGAAGACACCGTTAGTAAATTCTGCAAGGACCCGGCCAGTTTCGCCAAATACCAACTTCGACGGAACAATGCGCTAGGAATTTTTTACTTCGACTAGAACATCCTCCTCTTTCTCCGGAACCGCTGCTGCAAAGCCTCCGAAACGTCGGGCAGTTAAACATCATTGTCAAATAAGTTTAACTAATATATCGCGTTTTAAACCGTTAAAGTGTTTTATTTACGAATATCATAATTCCGTCCGAATTTTTAACCACCGTCTACCGGTGAGAAAGCCGTGAAGTTTAATATCGTTTTCCGTCTGTGCTTTCCGAATATGCAAAGCCGAAATAAGTCGACGGCGCATCTTGTTTACTTATATGGTTAAGGTATTTCACCTTCAATCGAATTAATCATAATAGATCATAAAAAAATTTGACAGTAAAACCTCTATGACGGGAAAATTTTATTTACGTTTCCTAGCAAAATTTGCAAACTATAATGTTTCTTATCAGACGCAAACGAAATGATTTTGTTTGACTAATACAACAAATACCACGGCTATAAAAGGATTTGCCATTGATACAAAGTTACTATAATGATTTCTCCTTTATAAAACTGAACATATATTATGTTTCTATACTGTATTATTACTCTGAGCAAAGTGTTTACGAAGCGTATTGCTCGTCTTCCTACAAAAGGTGTTTTTTTTTAATGCGATTTGAACCATATTTAATTATAATTCCAAATCGCTGACATTTTATCTAGTAACTAGACGTACTCGCTACTTCGTCCGCTTGGAATAGTTATTTTTGGGCATTCTTTATTTTCACAAACAACCTACTTTATAAATTATAGCTATACACCACGACGTCTTCCGCGTCCCGTAGCATCATTCTTATAAGGTAATCTTAAATAATACACTTCCGATTTTTAATTTAAAGGGGAATCATTATTTTATACACAATGTTTAGGTGTCTTAAACCGTTTTCGCAGCGTACGCATCTGAAACCTGCAGAGATGAAAAATTTCTCCCGATTTGTTCACATTTCTCGCTGTATCTTCGCTCCTATTAGTCACATCGCAATATACCTATAACCTTCCTCGATAAATGCTCTAACCAACACAAAAATAATTCGGAGAAATAGAATAAAAAGTACGTATTCGAATTTAATTCAATTCGAATCCGTACTACCTAACATTAACGCATTCAAACAAACAAACAAACTCTTCAGCTTTATATATTAGTATGGATAGATATCATCTAATACTATCTCAGATCAATATTTCCTTGAATTTAATAAAGATACAAGCCATACAAAATCAGATGTTGTAATTAACTCGTAGACAGCGGTTGTGTCTATCCGGCCAAACGAACTGTTAAAATGGCTTACGACTTAAGAGAAAAAATTGTTTTCATCACTGGCGGTGCACTAGGCATCGGAGCTTTGTCCGCTAAGTTTTTCCTTGATGAAGGCGTTAAGGTTTGTGATATTAATATAATAATTAATAAATATCGATCGTTATTAAAACAATTTGTTCATTACCCTACATGATATTTTTTTTTAATAAGCCCAAATTTTTTTTTTTATGTCTAAGTATTTTTTTATATACATTTTTAAAACAATGGTAGCTTTTACAAAACATTTATACCTTATTTTTTGTAATGTATTTCAATACAACGGTTTAAAATGCGATATATATGATGTAAATTATTTTTAATTTAACTTAACTACGGCCGGTCATTTCGAATGCTTTTTAACAGCCGTGGTTACGGGGATAGTAACTGGGTAATATGTTTCGCGTTGTAAACCGTTAAAAGTATTTTATTAAAATGTTTTCTTCTTGCTTCAACTACAGAGAATTCTTAATGTAAATTATCTTATTTTTTTGAAAATAAAAAACCTTTTTTGCAGCATGTCACTGTGACAGATGTAAATGACAGCGCGGGAAAAAAATTGGAGAGCGAATTGAATTCCAAATTTAAAGGCCGTATGAAGTTTATAAAATGCGACGTAACAGTAGACGAAGAACTCTTCGGTGTTTATAATCAAATTATTAACGAATTTGGATTTATAGATGTTGTTATCAACAATGCGGGTATTATGAACGACAGCATATACAAGAAGGCAATAGAAGTTAATTTTGTAAGTAAATTTTAAGTAGTTTTTAAACTAAGATAAGGTTGAGTTGAATTTAAGAATACCTTTTAATATTTATAATGTGGGTATTTTTAAATTAGAACAGAAGAAGAGAAAGCAGATACTTACACGTGCAAAAATATAATTATAATTCACTGTTATCAACATTAACATACCAAACTCTATAAAGTATAAATGTAAATAATTATTAATTACTCAATAAACAGTCAATGTAAACAACAGTGACGAGTTCTTAAGGTCTAATTTGCACTTTTGCACGTTGTTTGTAATAAAGGATAGTTTTCTTAACTTGAAGCAAAATCAAATACTCGTAGATAGAAGTTTTTTTGATAAGATATTGCATAGAAAAACGCCAGTTGTGATTAGTATTCTTTATTTTGAAAGATAATTAATAATACAAGCCAAGAGTTTGGTAAGGGAAGGTGTCCTCATCCAGGTGGCTCAGAGACAATGTTGAGTCGATACCGGCTCTCATCATCATCTCTAATCTATATCCATATTAATATTATATAGCTGAATAGTTTGTTTGTTTGAAAGCGCTAATCTTCGTAACTACGGGTTTGAACTGAACAATTATTTTTGTGTTGGTGGAACCATTTATCGTGGTAGGCTTAGGGTAAAACATCACTCCGTGACGAATAGGAGCAAAGAAACATTGGGAAATGTGAAAGAAACAGGGTTTCCGTTGGATGCACTAAGAAAACGGTTCAGGATACCCAAAACCAAGAACCGTTTCTATGGTAATTCAATTGCATCGAATTATTCATATGGCGAAAAGAACGTTTGCTAGGTCAGTAGTTGATATAATACGGGACGATACCTGGTTGTTTAATCACACCAGCCCGCACTTGTGTGTGCTTCTCCTATTAGAGGATAATTTTGTTATGTTAATATGTTAGCAAGTTACTAGTTTAAATAAAACACTTTAACGGTTTAACGTGATATATTAGTATTCGAGCTCGAAAGTTAGGCGAAGCTAAAATCATTTTCAAATAAGTTTAACTAATATATCGCGTTGTAAACTGTTAAAGTGTTTTATATAAATGTGTACTAGTCGCGTAAACTAAAGACAGTATTTAAGTTACTAGTTCTATTTATATCTTCTGCGTTTTTAATTTGAGAATTAAAATACACATTTATTTTTATGAAACATTGTTTGGTAGATATATTAAATTTTCAAATTTGCCTGTTAAAATTTAAATTATCTTTGGCAACTGTTTTATTTTTTATGACTATTTTTACTTTAATTATTGTTAATAATATCTAACTAAGAATTTAAAAACTTAAAGCAAAAAAATTAACGATTTAAGCCAATAGTATATTAAATTAGTAAATGATAATAATTATTTTATTAATTATATTCGTTCACTTAAGCTATTTATATTGTTATTGTAATACCCAAGTTTTAATGTAGGTTCAGGTTAATTGCTTCATATGGGAGGAAGAATGAAGGAAGTTACCTGTCCTATTACTACAATGTTGTATGCAAGTGTGTATGTAACTTAGATATTATGAGATCAAAGGAACAAGTCGCTAGAACAATTACAAACTATGACTTTCCGCTTTTAATGTTTAAAAGCGGAAAGTCATAGTTTGTAATTGTTGTTTATTAACCAAATGACAATCGTTTAGGAAAATATGCGATATCAGTCTAATTAAAAAAAAATGTTTGGACGTATCGCAATCAATAAAAAAAAGACCTAAAAAAGTACCTAGAAAAAATTAATTGCGAAAATCTTTAAGGAGTTTGGCGTTGAAAGCAGATCTAGAAATATGTGAAACCCCGTTTCCACACGTGGGGGTTGCGGCGGACACATTTTTGTATTAGATCGTGATCGGTTCTTTAACAGGCTAGTAGTGGATCAGACTTCTGTGTCCTGCCTGACTGAAATAAGTTATTGCCTTCCTGCGATACGACCACAGCTTCAGAGGCGGTCAAAATCTAGAAGAGCAGTGTATAAAAGTGAAAAATTGTTTCCCCGTGTGGGTCATAAAGCTACCCTTTTCACTGATCCAGTTTTTATTTACAGACAAGTCATCAGATGTCTGCACACGTCCGATCAGTATATTTTTTTCTTCCCCTAACGCAATGCTAGGTAATGCGTTGAACCGTTCAGTGGTACAGTTACGGAACTGTACGTATGCTATATTGAATTCATAGAAGACATTTCGCACAAAATGGTATTGATCAGCTTTTAGTGTAGACTAAACCGCTCTGACAATATAATCTACTACCTGTGCCCCGACTTCGTCTGCGTGAAGTAGTTATTTTAGGCGTATATTATTATTTTTAGAAACCACTTTCTCTCACAACGTATCCACAACCAGCTTTCTAAATTGTTGTTATTTCTAAATTATTAGTTGCTGTTGCCCACGTTGCATGTCTGCATCCCGTCGTTCTTGCTAGTGAAAAATGATGTTGTATAGCGTAAAGCCAATTCAAACCAGTAGTTCCCGAGATTGGCGCGTTCAAACAAACAAACAAACTAGATGTAACTTTTTCAGACAGCTTTAGTGACCAGCACATTAAAAGCTCGGGAGCTGATGCGTAAGGACGTCAAGGGTAGAGGGGGGGGTCATTGTCAACATATCTTCCATTGCAGCGTTAATGCAAAACACATATATTCCAATCTATTATGCGGCGAAGAGTGCTGTTTTGCAATTTAGCAACTGTATAGGGGTAAGTAGTATATATTTACCTAAACTTAAGCTTTTTCATCGATTCTCTGCCTGGGCGAGCGAAAACATATGATTTCCCGTATTCGAACCCAATACCTCAAGCTCTTAACGCAACCTTTGAGCTACGCGGGCGCTCTATAATAAACATACATAAGGATTTTTTTCTTATGTATTTGCTCCAAATAATATATAAGTGAAATGATTTGTGTAAGTGTCCTTTTTGTGGTAAATAAATTCTTACGTTCGTTCGACTGATCGTTTATTTACAAGTTGTTAATCAGACATATGTGTTTCTCCTGGATTCGAACCCAAAAATTCTCGTTCCAAACGCAAGGCTAGGCAAAATTTTGCCATTGACGTACGAAGGCGGTCATAATTTTATAATTATAGACAAGAAAAAATCATTAAAATTGCAATTACGATTAATTTGTCAAAAATTTGATAGGGTAAACACATAAAACCTAAAAATTAATACTCATTCAGATATTTGATTACACAATTTGTTATTTTATAATCAATGAAGGCCGAATTATCACTTACTCTATCCTACCCTAACAATAAGATAATATTACATTATGATATAAGTGCGGTAATTTGAAAATTACAGCCGAGGCGGTATTACTATAAGAAAGCAGAGGCTGTAATTTTCAACTTACCGCACGTATGCCATACGAAGTTTTAAACAATTACACGAAATTACAATTTTCAAATAAAAACAATAATAAGCGAAAAGAAAAAGCGCGCGGAATTATTTTTACTTGTCCGCAAATAAGCGATGCGCGCGCATCAACGTTTTTTTTTTAGGCACAGGTACAAAAACAGCCAGTATTACTAATAAAGTAAATTAATATTTTTGTGTTTTTGTTATAGATAAATGGTTGTAATTTATTGTCAAAATTAATTAAATTAAAGAATTAAATGTTTATTTGTTACATTTTACTATACATTTTATTATTAGTAGGTATCTACTACTGTAACAGGATGGTCTGTTAGGAGTTTTCTTGATAATATTGCATAATCCTAACTTCCTCCGTCGTAATAATAATTATGAAATATCTCATTCTATAAACGTATATTATGTTGGAATTTAGAGCCTTGGACGTTTGAACCAACGAAAACAATTTTATAATATAGCCTTTATTTAATGGTTAAACACAGATTGCGTTAAACTATGCAAATTTAAATATTTCTAGTATATTCTTAATTTGCGTAAATATAATACACAAATTAAAATATAATACAAAATTGAATTTTATATTGTTGCATAAAACTAACATATTGTAAATATCCTAATTCAAATAGATCGTTTTAACCATGAAGCAAATTTCAACTCTTTACCAGTGATGAAATCGGTACCTACACTAGGCAGTGTGGAGGAGGCTCCCCAACAACAACAAAGAATATCATGTGTCTGTTCTCATTTCCCTTCCCAAGTGGCTATTTCAAACATTCTTTGTTACAGTTACCATCGAATTATGAAGGAACTGGGGTTAGAGTAATAACCATGTGTTACGGAGCCACAGATACAAGTCTCCTAAGCAAAGATAAATTGGCCTCTTTCGAGCGGGAAATCAATGAGGATTTATACAATTTTGTGCACTCAGTCCCTCTACAAAGGTATATTATATTTGAGCACGTTTGACAGGGTAGATCCACACGAGGTGTTTCAAGTCCCGCATGTGTTGTTGTTTTTTTTGAATTAATGACAAATACAAAAGCATTTATAAGGGTAGTAGAATTAAATTATTTATTACTAGCTGTGTCAGCGACTTTGCCCGCGTGGATGTATTTATTTTGGGCATTCAAATTGGTTTTTATTACCCATGACGTCGGTTGCGTCCCGTCGTTTTTGTAAGTTAATCTTAAAAGTACACAGACATATGTCACGGGCATTCTTTTTTACATAACCTTTCGGAACCTACAGAGATCAACAATGCCCCTAGTTTTTTCCACATTTCCTACTGTTTCTTCGCTCTATTAGTCACAGCCACATTAAATTAGTATAGATTTAAATTATTCAAAACGAAATTTTAAATTTTAGAGCTGATTCAGCGGCAAAAAGCCTCATTGAAGTTTGCAAGCAAGGCGAAAGTGGAAGTACATGGCTGTCGAAGAATGACCTTCCAGTTGAAGATGTGACTCCTGTAATTAAACAAGCATACAGTCTTCTAACAGCTCTAGTTTTTTAAGTGGTCAATGACGAGGTCGTGTTATATTGTAATAGTTAATGTATATCCAATTACTATTACTAACTTCGTGTAAGTTAAAAAAATAAGGTACATTATTAAATATTCAAAAAATCTATTAGTCTTATTATTTAACTATCAATGTATTTGGGACTTTCCCATAGATAAAGAAACCGTCAATCTCACCCACAGATTAAACAAGCACAGGTATAACATTAGTTAATGTTATTTTTTATTCACTGGTATGCAATAAAGGTTATTTTATCGGCTAAATATTGTTTAATGTATATGTATATATTATTACTTACAGTCAAATTGCTTATCAGTGTCTATCTTGTATCATGTCTGTGTAGGATGACTCATGGGCTCTTGTCAGTCTGTATTATACTATTGACTGGGGTTGCAAGTAACAATAAATCCTCGACGCTCATGTATTCATTTCCCCGCCTGGAGTTTGTATTAAGTTTTTTCTTTCCTTATTTCCTACAGACTATAGTCTGCGGGAAACAATTAATATTTTCATTGTTAGTTTATAAACTAACTATTACTTGCGTAATATAAAAGGAGTTTAGAAATGAACAAAGTGTATACTGATATTAGCAAGAGTAGTAAGAGTACTTAATTCAGCATCGGTACTTAGTACCGAATACTTTTTCACAGCACAGTGTTGTGTCGATTGCCACACTATTACTCATGACATGAGTCATGACGTTTTGACGTATTAGGTCTGAGATGAAATCAGTACTTAATTAGAATAAGTAGCTTCATAGTTCATACACCGTTAAGCTTGACTTTGTATATTCAATTTTGTAAGTATAATTATCCGTGAATAGGTCATAGTTTTTGTTCATATTGTAAAGCTATTTTGTATTTTCAGTCCAGTGCACAATTTATTTTGTACTTAAAGACCGAAAAGACTGTTATTATATTAGTGGGAAAACTTTTTTGAAAATACAACATGAACCCCTACCAAGTAAGTAAACTTTATTATTTGTTATTAATTTGGCATTTAGTAACCTTGTTTTGTTTATCACAAAATATTGAGAACGCTTGACCACGATTTTATTTCAAGGGACCACCACCATATCTACACAATATTGGATTTAGCAACACTGCCCCCCAATCGTTTGGAAACCCAATGCCAATGCCCGGATTTCCCACTATGGGTTATCCGGCACCACAACCAGGTTATCCTGGGTATCCCAATCAGAATTTCCCAGGACAGAATCAAGGTTATCCCCAACAGAATTCAGGGTATCCCCAACAAATTCAGGGATATCCACAGCAGAGTCAGGGCTATCCCCAACAAAGTCAGGGATACCCGCAACATAGTCAGGGTTACCCAGCTCAAGCTTACCCAAGTGCTCAAGGATATCCATCAGCTCAAATCGGATATCCCCAAGCAGGATATCAGGCAAGTTCTGCTTATCCTACACCCAATCACCAAGGATATGCTCATAGCATTCAAAGCCATCAAGGTCATAACATGTCCAGCCCTGTAGTCAGTATGCCGTGGTCATGTTAGTCTGAGCTATGTGCTTTTTTTGTGATAAGCAACAACGCTCCTTTTGCTTCTACACCTTACTAATTATAGCTTATGACTATAAGTAAATATTTTGAAATATATATTATCATTGTTGAAGGATGCACCATTTCTGTTTATGTAATGCTTTAAAACTACTAGAGTCTTGCTGTTATAGATAGTAATCGGTTTAAAAAAAAAAGTTTATGCAGATAAGCTAAAGACAACATCATTTCATCTTGTTGCTAATATAAAACTAAGCTGGTAGTTATAATGTATATTGTATATGGGAACTATTATTGTGTAACATTTATTGTTTAAAAAACAAAACTGACTCACTATATGTTAATTTCTCCCATAACCCTGTAGATCAAAGTATAAACTTATTAAGTACAAGATGTCCCGTTTCAAATCTCCAGAGATAAAATAAATTGCTTCAGACAGCTTACTTTAGTCCAATCTATAATTCAAAGACAATAAAATCAGCCGGTGGAGTGCCCTATGCCTTAAAGTGGGAAACAGGTTTTCACATCAATATATATTTAAGTAAAAATTATAATTTAGTGCCATCATATTTCTTTTCGATTGACATAGTTTCTACCATCACAAATACTGTGCATACTTTTAAATTTGTTTAGAAATTAAATGAATGAAATACATTTTCCATTTGAGATTAATAAAATAATATCACAGTCAATTTTGTAGTATCGAAAAGTGAAATCTAATTTTTAAACAAACTAATTATGTTGAAACAGCAAAGATTCTTTTATACTGCAAAGTTAAAGTTAAATTGAATTCAAGTTTATTCCCAACATTGTAGATATTAATTAGTATAGCATTATGGACTAGACTAGGCAACAGAATGTTTGTTTTGTAATGCAGGCCATAGGTTCAAAGCCAGATCAGTATAGATATTAATCTGAGTTATCAATAAAATTTTACATTTGTGCTCAACACTGCTTGAATTTATACCAAACACCTCGAACAGATCACAATATTCATGTGATATTGGTGCTATACCTACACTCTATTCAAGGAACAGTTTACTGCAATTACATTGTTATGCTCACTTCGTCTCACCGCACACATTTATCACAATAACCTATGATCCAGTCTCGACTAGGATCTTACCTACAATGGATGTAGATCGTTCCCATTGTTTTCCAAAAATTGTATCAGTGTTCTAGACTATGTGTTTGTTTGTATAGTGTTGCATTGGTGAAAGTTAATCAATATGTCCTCAACAACCTCTAATTATAAGCGGAGCACCTACAGGTCGTCGTTGGGTGGCAGGCGAGGGTTCAAATCATTTCGTTATACGGTATTATATAGCTAATATATCAAAGTGGTTACTATGCATGCAATCTGCGATTAACATTGCATATTATATCTTCTCTTTTGCTTACCTAACACGGGCGTAGCTAGCCACAAAAGCGTTATCAACATAAGTTTTTCTTTACCAATTCTGTAGGTCAACTTTAAGTTATTTTTACCATTGAGGTATCTAAAATCTACATGGTATATTTAAATTTTACACTCAAAGATATGCTGTAAACCAAGCTATTTAGGTACGCTAAATGAGTATGTTTGTCGGCCCTAGGTCTCTTAATGCCACGTATTCTAATAAGTCTTTATCTTCTTAAAAACAAACCATTTATAGTACATGATGATATAACAACAAAATAAAATTATAAAAAAGAATCACTCCCCTACTCTTTGGCTATACAGTAGCTGGTTAAAGGAAGGTTAGTATAAAGTTTTAATTATACTCTAGTTAACTGTATTTCTTTCAGTCTAAACCCACAGTGGTGCCAGTAAATCCTTTCGATCCCCGTGAAGATGCAGCCGTACTTCGGAAAGCCATGAAAGGATTCGGTACCGATGAGAAAGCCATCATACAAGTACTGACTCGCCGAAGCAATGAGCAACGCTTACGAATCGCCTTCGAATTCAAAACATTATACGGAAAGGTAAGAATAGGAAACCAAATCTATACTAATATATAAAGTTGAAGAGTTTGTTTGTTTGTATATTTGTTGGAACGCGCTATTCTCAGGAACTACTGGTTCGAATTGAAACATTCTAAATAAAAATAAAAATTTAAGTTTCCGAGGCGTGCAAAAACGGTTCAAGATACCCAGAAAATATGTATTAAATAAGGATTCCTCTTTAAATGATCAAAAAAAGTCAGCGACGTTATATATGTCTATCGTTTAAGATTAACTTGCAAGAACGACGGAAATGGGGGGCAACCGACGTAGTCTGTAACAGCTTAAGTTTATAAAGATGAAGGGGTTTGCAAAAACGAATTTGGATGCCCAAAATAACGATTCTCGCGGACGAAGTCGCTGACACAGCTAGTTACTAATAAATGCCTACTTTAATGTTCCATTTTAATGTAGTACTTAATAAAAGTTTCAACTATTTAAATAAAACACTTTAACGGTTTAAAAAAATCGATATATTAGTTAAACTTATTTGAAAATGATTTTTAACTTCGGCGCGACGTTTCGGATGCTTTGCAGCAGCCGTGGTCACGTGGAGACATATATCGCGTTTTAAACCGTTAAAGTGTTTTATTTAAATGTGTACTACTCGCGTAAATTATAGAGAGTATTTAAGTTTTAACTAGCTATATAGATTTTAAAGGAATTCCCAAATGTAGCTCTTTTCATTAGTCAAATTGATCTGCGTGTTCGCCCAGACCATCCATTTATTAAGTTGATTAGTTACTTTTAATTAAGTGAAATAATCGGCGTCGCACCTTTTTTGTTTGTAATTACAAAGTAAACAGAATGTACATAGATACTTATATACATATATTATTATGTTAATATTCAAATGCTTAGCATTATCGTGCTAATTATATTTTTCAAAAACAATGGTCGTTTTGCAGACCGTTACGTCCTAGACAATTACAAGTTATTTTTGTAAGTAATTTTTGATAACAAACCAATAAATATTACCTATTCTTTATTCGTTTTTGAGTTACGTGTTTGCTTTAGGATATGTTCCAAAAAGAAGCTTCTAGATCCTATACCCTTCCTCTGTATCATTGAGTTATTTCAAATCATGAGATGTAACCATACTGGAATAATTAGAGCTAATTTATCTGCGTCTGCTTAGGATCTCGTATCGGACCTGAAGAGTGAAACCAGTGGAAAATTCGAAGACCTCCTCGTCGCCCTTATGACGCCACTACCACAATTCTACGCCAAGGAGCTGCATGACGCTACAGCGGGCATCGGAACCGACGAGGATGTGCTTATTGAGGTCATGTGTACAATGTCCAACCATGAGATTCATGTCATCAAGCAAGCTTATACTGCCAGTAAGTATACTAATACACATCTATACTTCTACTATGCTAATGTATAAAGCTGAAGAGTTTGTTTTTTTGTTTGTATATTAGAACGCGCTAATCCCAAGAACCTACTGGTTCAAATTGAAAAAATATTTTTGTGTTGGTTAGGGCATTTATCGAGGCAAGCTATAATAGTAAGACAATAAGAAAACAGCGGGAAATGTAGAAAAACGAGGAAAAATATTCATCTCTGTGGGTTTCCGATGCGATAACGGTTCAAGATACCCAAAAAATATGTATGAAAGAAAAGATCTAAAAAAATGTCCGCGACTCTATATGTCTATCACTTAAAATGTACGTAAGAACGACAGAATACAAAATAACTATTCCACGCGGACCAAGTCGCTGACACAGCTAGTGTTGATGTAGCAGATACTCTCGAACGACACAGACCACTGTTTATAGATGCCATGTTTCCGCACTTTGACTACCTGTATCCAGCCTATAGGCGAATGGTTATATAAAACTCAAGTCAAGTCGTGCTTAAAAGGCACTTTTAAAGATTCAATGCACGAAATGTAAGCCCTTGAAACTCAATGAACAATTTCCTGTGTAAGTACTTGTCTTCCAACATAACTGGATTTGCTATAAATGGGAATTACCTACTTAGATACTTCCCCGCTTTTAAGAAGATAATGTAAGGATTGCATTCACTTCGTGGAAGTGTAGACTTATCATGCATGTACACAGAATTACTTTGGTACTCAGATTTACTCTTGTACTAAAAACTTAGAATTTTAAAGTATAAAATTATCTACGACTTTAAACTCAGTAGTACAATGATTAGAGGAACGCCTCGGTACTCTGTGGTCCTGGATTCAAAGTTCTAAGTCCGTGCTATAATTCTTAACAAAAAATAATAATAATAATCGCCTATTGGGGCGAATTTCTGTGTCCGTTTCATTGATCGGTTTTATTTACAGGAAAAAGTTGATCGGACTTTTTGCCCGATCGAAACAGTCTATTATTTCCCTGGGTATCAAATATGGGATCTCGCCCTATGCCCTAACGCAATGCTAGGCGACACGTTTAACCATTTAGCTATAACATCACAAAACATAGTATATACCAATCTTAAATTCAATAAATCTTTTCCTATACATAAGTACGTTAAATTTTGCGAATGGGGAAACACGAATACATTTGATCGCATGCCAATTGTTAACGATGACGTCACGCATTTATGACTCATGACGTTTGTCTTGCTTACGTTACATTATTGATCACATTTCTTTTGCCAACGTTTTCCCTGTACGAAATACTTGTGAGAATTATAGCTTTGAAAACTTTAATGTTTTTATCACATGTTATTGTACACGAAGGCAGGGGAGATTCGGGCAGGACTTTTTTTTTTTTGTTGGACTCTTACGTATTGTGTCCTAAAAAAGGGGGGAAAAAAAAAAAAAGGGGGGGGTTTTGGGGGGGGGGGGAAAGGCCCCCCCGTTTTTGCGGCTAGACCAAGGTGCCCCGAGGGGGGGAACGGCCCCGGCTTGGACCGCCGCAATGCGGGTGGGAGCTAGAAGAGCTGGACGGAAGAGGCAGGACTTGAACCGGCATCGTCAGGAAGAGCAACAGCATGGAACGCTGACGATGCCAGTTCAAGTCCTGCCCGAGTCGAAAAATTTTTCAATTTATTTTCGATTTTTGAATTGACTTATAGCTGTTTAAAAATTCGGAAACAAACATTATGCTAAGTAAAAAAAGGTGATTATTTTGCCTATCGGTAGCATTGTATGGCTAATATTCAAAGGGTTCGATCCCCACTGGGTTCAATTCGTTTCAAATATTATGTTGAACTTCTTCTGGAAATCTGGATATAAAGTGACAATCGAATTTTTTTTCGGGTCACGTGCTCTCTTCTACAGATAAAAAACGCCGTGAAGTTTAATCGGGTCTCGGTTTTCGAATATCCAAATCCAAAATATGACAGCGCAGTTTGTTTAAATTTCTATATCATTAAAAAAGGCATATTATATTGTCCTGGGTATCCAATTATTAAATACCTTTGTCGAGAACAAACACGCAAAGCTCGTAACAGCCTAGGCCGAGTTTTGTTTTACTTACCACGCAATTGTTCAAATGTTACAATTTTTTAAAAACAACTATTTATAAATCTAGCAACATTAATAAGAATTTAGATTTGAGTTGACTGGTTTGACGTTCATAAGTGTACCTAGTTACCTACGTGATTTTAATGATCGAACAGATAAACAATTATTTTTATTTATTTATCTATGTATTTATATATTCTATATTGCACAAAACATTTTAGTTAGAATAATTATACTTTTGCATTTAGTTTTTATCATAATCCAACATCGAATAAAAGGTGGCAAATTCTTTAATTCGAACTAAAAAAAATACGCTGTTATCCTTAAGGTATTTTATTCTTATGTTCATAATTTATGGGTCAAAAGATAATTTTGGGATATTACGAGATTTAACAAGTTTCCGCAAATTAATTAACAATATAAGGATGTTATTAGATTTATAAGGAAGTTTTATATTAGACTAAAATGTTATGGATAGTGATTGGGAGAATATGACAAAAAATAATTAAGAATTTTTGAATATTTTTTGCTTTGATTATTCAGAAATAAATGTAAAATTCTTTGACAGTCTACGGAACTTTGCTGGAGGACGACTTGCGCGGTGACACGTCTGGCAACTTTAAACGGCTGATGACCTCTTTGTGCATGGTAAGGAAAACTTCAATAACCCAATTTATCTTGTGGACGTGCGTCGTATACTATTTTGAATACTATATATTCATGCAAGTGTATCTTTACGTCCCAGGCTTAGCTACTCATAAGTTAGGATCATTTATTTCAAACAATTAAGAATTTGATAAAAAATGTTGACGATTATATCGTAATTGAATCTAAGGGCCTTTTTAAAAAATAGATATTGTTTTTCATTTACACATAGTTCAATTAATTATAAGATAAAGCGAGTTGATATTGGTATAGACAATCGATTCAATAAAATTGGGCCTTAGTTTATTTAAGCCAACTTGTTCTATTTTTTTTAAATACAATTACAGGGCAACAGGTCTGAAGAGTTCCACGTCGATCAAGAGAAGGCGAGAGAAGATGCGAGGAGTCTATTGCAAGCTGGTAAGTTGTTAAAATAAAGACTTTTCTTAACCTGACGTTTGAACGAAGTTTGACGTTTGAAAGAATAAAAGTAGAAGTATATAAATACTTCGACTTTCTTCTTTTTTATATTAACATTATGAAGCTGAAGAGTTGGTTTGTTTGAACGCGCTGATATCAGGAACTACTGGTTCGAATTAAACAATAATCGAGGAAGGCTTTATATGGATTTTAGGCAGTGGAAACGGGTAAAATTATTCATCTTTGAGGAGTTCCAAAGGGTTTTCGTTTTGGATGCTTTGCAGCAGCCGTGGTCACGGGGAGACCGAAACGTCGGACCGAAGTTAAAAATCATTTTTAAATTAGTTTAACTAATATATCGCGTTTCAAACCGTTAAAGTGTTTCATTTAAATGTGTACTACTCGCGTAAACTATAGACAGTATTTAAACTATCTGCTGTTTTGATGTTATATGTTCCACTAAAAGAATCTATTTTTCGAGTTGCGTACAAGGCTATACTAGAGTTAGCTGTAGTTAGCTGAGTAATGGTATCAAGATCAGCCGACTTTTATCAGTAACGCATTGAGAAAAATCTTAACTTCAAATATAGACAACTCTGTGTTATGATAATGAGGTTTTTTAGGTAGAATAATAAGGTACTAATATGTATGTAATACCTAGGTATACTAAGGTACCGTCGTAACATTATTTTGTTTTATTGGAAGGGAATGATTTTTATTTTTGTTGAATATTGTGAAAATTGTATCTACTGTTTAGTTCACGCGAGTATGCATTTAAATAAAAACAACGGTTTAAAACGCGGAATTTTTAATTTCATTTTTTTTTTCCTTTAACAACTGCTCGACGTTTCGGATGCTTTGCAAACTGTTTAACTAATACATTTTGCGTTTTAAACCGATAAAAGTGTTCTACTAAGGAACAAGGAAGTATTTCAGTCTACGATAAAGTCCTTTTGTCTGATTCAAAAACATACTTACTTATCATTACTTATCTTCTGTTTTTATTAAAGGTGAGCTGCGCCTGGGCACAGACGAGTCCGTGTTCAACGCGGTCCTGTGCTCCCGCTCGTTCCCCCAGCTGGCGGCCATCTTCCAGGAGTACCAGTACCTCACTGGCCACGACATCGACGACGCTATCAAGGCAGAGTTCTCCGGTGACCTTGAGAAGGCTCTTCGCGCCATCGGTTAGTTCTAGAGTTCTCTATGGTTTCTAGCAAACACAAGAATAAGGGAGCAATCACCGATTATCCACATAAGTTGCACGTTTTTCTTTATTTTACGCGAGTAGTATATATTTAAATACAACATAATTAACGGTGTAAAACGCTATATATATAAAAATATATTAATTGTATTTTTTTTTTATATATGAGAGGACCCCCCACCGTGTCCATGGTTGCGGCAAAGCATCCATATATCTCGCGTTTTTAAACCTTCGATAATGTTTTATTTAAATGTGTACTACTCGCGTAAACTATAGAAAAAAGTGAAACTTATGTGCATAAGCGGTGACTTTGTAGTAGATGTAAGTATCCTAGTCTTAAACTCCACTATTAAAATAATATTAGAGTTAAATCACGAAAGCAATGAATTAAAATAAAAAAGTGAAAGTGTGGGGCGAACACATTTTTGCGTCCGTTTCACTGATCCGTTCTTTAACAGGCAAGTAGTTGATCAGACTTGTGCCCTGTCTAACCGAAACAATTATTACCCTGGGATTCGAACCCACTTCTCGCGCACAACGCAATGCTAGGCAACACATTTAACCATTTGGCTACAGAGACGGTCACTAAAGATAATATTGGGTCAAATCACGACACGAACCAATTAAAATATAATATAATATACTAAGTTCGGACGAACGAGTACTTACTCAAGATCATCTGCATGGTTTAGTGTTTTAAAACGTATTTGGCCCGAGCAATAGTTTCGATCGGACAAGGCACAGACGTGTACTGCCTATAGTACAATGTTTCGAATTAGTTCAGAATTTACTAGTTAAACCCAGAAAATTCCATTCACAATTAGCCCTATTAATGTCTCGTCTAATTACAGTGAAGGTTGTTCGCAATAAGCCGTTGTTCTTCGCGGAGCGTCTGCACAAATCTATGAAGGGTCTAGGCACCAATGACAGACAGCTGATCCGCATCATGGTGACTCGCTGTGAGGTGGACCTGGGCGACATTGCGGAGATGTTCCAGGCCAAGTATGCGGAATCGCTACAGAGCTGGATCGAGGTTAGTAGCAATGTGCGGCTAAAAATCAACGGGTTCGTGTGTTCGCTCCCCACCGGGCCCAACATCTGATCAAGATCATCGGGAAATCTGAATATTAAATGAGTGGTAGGATAGGATAGGGTGACGAACTACTGTCCACAGATGGAAAGCCGTGAAGTTAATTCACGCTTCGGTTTCAGTCTGTGAAATCTAAGGCCCGAAATAGGTCGACATTTCATGGCATCTGGCTTTGATGCTATAGGTTTTTCACCAACCATCAAATTAACGCCATGCCTATCTGTCCTGCTCTATCAATAAAAATATTTGAATTACATTAAGATCTAGAAATGTATTGTGACAATGAGTGTGAGTCAGAACTATTTAAGTTATCCTGTGACGTCACAACTTCGAGATTTCTGCCTCGTGGTCTTAGATCAACTATAGAGGTAACGGTAAATGAGCTATTTGACAATGCTGCTGTTTGGTCGAGTTTATGACTATGTCACTTGCTGTAAACCACCCTGCTTCCGTTGACTCTTCTGTCCTGATTAATAAATAAATTTGAACACATTTATTTGCTTTAATAATGATGTAATTTGTAAGGTATTATAAGGTCCTGACGTCACTAGTCACTAGTGTATTGCAGCGTTATTTCGCAAACTTAGCGTTTAGGCGCGCAATTCAAATATTGGATTTATAATGGGCTTACTACCAAATAATATAAAGAACTTTTAAAAATTAGTCAAATAGCCCATTTTAGAAAGTGGTTGTGATTTTTTTGTATCTGCAATTGTGGAATATTCAACTATCATATGTTTAAACATTATTTTTTCCCAACACATGCATTGCGACCTTGTTAAACGAAGTCGCAACGTGATAAGTTCAACTTACGCTATATTATAATTAAAATAAAATTGCTATGCTACCCAGTGTGCCTTTTGTCAACAGCTGCATAACGACAGTGCCTAAAAAGTTAACAACTCTGTTTTTAGGTCACTATCGTTACTAATAATACTCTTTATTTCTAATTGCTCACGTGTCCTTAATCAGTATGCTTTTTTGTTTCAGGGCGATTGTTCGGGCCACTACAAGAAATGCTTTTTGGGACTCTTAGGCTTATATTGAAGTGCATTTACATCACGTAACACAATTTATTGTTAGGTTTATATCTTAGTTTGTATAGAATCTCGAATACCGAGTCCTATCTCAAAATTTGCAGATTTTTTCTGTCCCATCTTGTTGTGTATTTGTTTTCACCGCCATCTAGTGGCAGATTCTGTTTTTAATCCGATAAGTACGCATGGAAAACGTCCAAATTGTAATAACAATTATTAAATATATTCGAAGATGTCGAATGATCTGAAATTATAGTATTTATATTATTATACTGTATTTATTATATCTAATAAAATTATTTTTTTTCCAGTGTCAAACACTTCGTTATGTAACTTTTAAGCATATTTTTAAATAGCATAAATAATAAATACTTTATTATGATGTTGTTACTGTGTCAATATTTTACATTGTTAAGCTATTCTGAGACTGGTTAACAATAGCACTTTGTCCCAATAACTGTATTTAATACAAAGCAAACACATTTTTATTCAATTTAGTAGCTTAAAGGATTTACATTTTACCAAATTAGCAGTCGTTTAAGTATGACATGATTATATTATATAATATTATACTATTAGGTTACTACGTAATCATCTAGACATTCCCCCCCCCCCATAAAAAGTAAGCACTAAAATACCACCACCTATAGTGCTTCCGTTATACTTGAACACCACAAAGCATTACTAAATATTTAAAAAAAACCCGCCGTTTCTTCTCGATTTTTAACATGATCTTTCCACCGAATAATTTGTATTGGGCTTTTTTAATTTTATATGCCAAAATAGACAGTCAAAACAAAATTTTCGCCTAATTGTTAACTATTGCTTGTGCCTTTGTCTTGTGCTGTGTACACTTTTATGATGGTTATACTATACTATACATATATATCTGAATAAATGATTTATTTTACATATTATTGTTTTATTGTGCCTTTAACATCTATATTGAGATCGTTTGTTTGACCGAAATGTTAGAAAAAGAATTATCTTCTATTGTTTTTGTTACGTAAGCAGACAAAACTAATTATTTTATACATGTCAAAGTTACGCTAGACATCCTAGGCTGGAGTCTCGGAAATTATCTGAGGCCGCTAGAGGCAGAGTAGACTAACTGCTATTTTATGACTTGATTTATACATGCTTTATAATCTAAAAATGGCTATCTACAAGAGCACAATGATCGAAAATGTTGACCTAACCTTTACACAAATAATAGTACAAATTCAAGTTAATTCTTCATTTTTATATTTTCCCTTTTTTGGAAATCGTGTTTTTTGTTATTAGGCCACTCTGCCCCATACAGTCTTAACACAAGCGTAGGCTTCGTTTCTGCCATCAACCCCCACTTTATGGGGATGTCAGAACTAAACTAAATAAATGATGTTAGAACCAAAACATTTCTTAATAAGAAATAATCTAATTGTAGTTAAAAATAAATACATTTGCAATTTCCGTCCATACATAACAGGCAATTCTTAAAAAATACCTTATTAAAAGAAAAATGTTCAAATTCCTGATTGATCACCCCGAGCTTAATAAAAATTAAATAATTGAGACGCCGAAAGCCACCCTTGATGAATGAGGTATCAGATATTCAAACAAATGCTGGCAATCTATTTTCCCTGTAAGCCGACCTACTCGCTTAGCACAAGATAAAGAATAAATTATTTTAATATCTGTCCTACCACAGACTGAGTAATGCAGAACTCATATCACAGATACATAATTTCAAATATAATAGTTATATATTCTCATGTCATACAATTAATCTAAAAACAAACTTAAATAAAGTTCACATTGTGTTAATAATATAATTATTTAATATATTATACTAATACATTTTAATAAACATTTCCTCGTTTAAAAAGTTTTAATCTATACTAATACATAAATCTGAATTGTTTGTTTGATTTTTTTAACGCGCTAATCTCAGGTCTCAATTACTATTTAAACTTTACTTTATATGGTCTAAAAAATATGTTCGGCACAATATATATCCGCAATATATACTATCTTTAAAGCTTAACTTTCAAGAACGACGGGATGCGACCGACATCGTAAGTAATGGTTAAAATTTATAAAGACGTGGAGGAGTTTGTTTGTAAAAATTAATTTGGATGCCCAAAATAAATATAGTACGCGGACGAAGTCGCTGACACAGTTAGTGTATTTACGACCCGACGCTTGGTGTCTTCCGTGATTATGGTTGGATTTCAATTATTAATGATTAGGATGATAAAAGTCACAAAAAATTCCCTTGCTAGTCGTACCCAAAAAACTATTCTCATTTTGTATTCAATAATGATGCAGCCAATAGGGTTTGAAATCGACCTGTAACATTCAAGTTACTATGTATCTTAGTATATATATTACAACCATATACTATATTATTTAATACTACCTGTGTCAGCGAAGCGTACGCTTCGGGACCCATACTGATGAATAAATTTCCAATTTATTTCGCATTTTTTTCCTATAACTTCACTTGTATTAGTCACATGGTAATGTTTTATAGTCAACCTTTTTTTTAAAATTCGAACCTGTAGTTCTTGAGATTAGCGCGTTCAAACAAACAGACAAACTCTTCAGCTCTATATTATATTAGTATAGATAATACATAACACCCTTGTTGAATTATCGCAGCCTACTTTGTAAGTAGGCACCAATTGTTTCAAATCGTACGTAACGCAAATTATATAATTTAAACTTCTCAGCCACTTATGAAAATTTAGATGAGATAATACGTCAAGACGATTGTAATTAGGCCTAGACTGCAGAGGTGACTGATTTGTATAATTAATCGCTCGTCTTCAAGAACTATATTAATTTGAAAGTTATTAAAGATATAAATAAAGCCAACTTATGTTATGATTTTGTTTCTATAAACAAAGATATTATACCTAAGTTAAATTATACCCACTGAACGTGTAATGGGTCATTCAGTAAGCTAATATTGCGATTTTTTATATAATATTTCCTAATGTTATATGATATTTCATCGCTTTTATAAATTACATTATTATATTTTGCAATCAATCTTTACGGTTGAAAAAATATTTTAATACTTTATTCGCTTTTAGGTTAGGTGTCGCCTTTAAACACTAACAGATATATATACATATAATATTGTGTGTGTTCGCGTTTCAAACTGTTGTTATTTGTTATTTATTATCTATAATTTTGTTTTACGCACACTTTTCTACGGGTTCGTTATCTACCGTTTACAGGCGAAACAATAACCGTATAATAATATTAATAATGGAGTTCTAAATATCGAACGTCAAAAATAGGACGATCTTGTTTAATCTCATGATTGTCTTTCCTTCTTTATTATATAAATAATTCAATGATGCGTTTTTCGTTAAATTTATTTAATACAAAAAAGGTTATTTCAACCGTAAAGATTTATTGCAAAATGTTATAACGTCATTTATAAGAGCGATGAAATATCGTATAACATTAGGAAATATACAAACATCTTACAATCTATGGACCTGAAAATTATTACAGCAATGTTCTATAGCTGTAAGTTATAATTAGGCGAAAGTAGTGCCCTACTTTTAATCTAAGTACACAAAGAATAAACAGGAAGCTGCCTCGAAAAGTGCTAGTTTTAGTTTTTTATTCTGAAAACTGTAGGAAACCCGTCGTAAATTTAGTGTTAGGATACAAGGAAGGATGAAGACCGGTGTAAACCTTCCCGGAACCCGAGCCCTACCTTTGTGTAACGGCAAAAACGAATTTTAATATTACAAATAATATTATAATACGTACACTCTATGTTCAAACTTTTTACTATTCAAGTTTCAACATTAGCCGAGTATAGTTTTTACTGTCTGGATAGGAAAACGTGGTTAAACGCATTGTGTTAATATGGAGTTGGGTGTTGTTTTTTTATAAATAAGAAACAATAAAATAATATACTTTTAACGGTTTAAAACATGTAACATATTAGTTAGCTTACATGACAACGATTGCCTCTGTAGCTAAATGGTTAAATATTTTCTTGCATTGCGTTAAGCGCGAGAGGACATGTGTTCGAATCCCAGGGAAACAATAGATTGTTTCAGTCGAACGGAAGCCTGAAAGAATCAGATGAGTGAAATGGACACAGAACAATGTGTTCGCCGCAAGCTGGACAGGGGAAAAGGGATTTCATACCATTACGATATCGCGCACTATACATTTCAATTTTCATGTTTATACCGTTTGCTTTGCAGCAGCGGTGGTCGCCTAGGGTAGGGACAGAGGAGAAGAGACAAAAATGGAGTTTACTCGATGGGAGTTCGAATATCCAGCCATATAACATCCAAACCAGATGCGCGTTCGAACTTGGCTTTGGACATTCAGAAATCTACAAACTGAAACGGATTTTTACGGCTTATCCACGTCTTCGAACGATGGTTCGACCTGGATGAAATTCCCATTCCATTTACCCTGATTTTCCAGACTACGTCAAATATTTCTGTCTATTAAATTATAAATTGATTTTAAAAACACGGCAGACCTGGTGGAAATCGAACCTACGAACTGTTAATTAACTATCCATTGCTACCATTGGATGATGATCTAAAAACGTTTTTTACGTTGTCTATAAAACTTTATATCATTATAGGAACACTTGAACTGCAAGTACCTTTATGCTTAAAAAAACACCTAAACAATTGAAATTTAATATCATTTAAATAAAACACTTTAACGGTTTAAAACGCGATATATTAGTTAAACTTATTTAAAAATGATTTTTAACTTCGGCCCGACGTTTCGGATGCTTTGCAAAACGCTAGCTTTGACGGCCTCAAACTATTAAACACCTGGGATCCCATATTAATAACTCTGATCCCAATAAAAGCATAAGAAACGAAAGACACGTTATCAATTCTTAAGGACCCGCGTTTCGCCAAATACCAACTTCGACGGAAAGATGCGTTAGTGTCAATTTTTTACTTTGACGTCAGAGACATCCTCCATCTTTATCTCCCTGACCAGGCGGCTGCAAAGCATCCGAAA